CACTGTGCTGCTGCATTTTTGGTACCTATCTGAACAGGTAGCCAAATACTTGCTCTTGTTTATTTATTTATTATTATTTGTCCCCCATGGTATTCCTGTGTGCAAAGGAACTCCTTTGAACGTCATTCCTGTGAAGCTGATATATTCTTGTCTGCATGCACGTGCCTACCTGGGGATTGAAGCAGGTGTGGAGCAAAGGAAGTTGCTAGCTCAGAACCCAGTGTAGGAATATTGTCTTTGGTCACGACAGCACTTTAAGATATTCTGTCTATGGGCTATACCCTATATAAGGGTGTCAACCCTATCTAAGTTGTGTCAATGCACTGAGGTGCTAAGAATTGAAGCAAGTTGGAGAATAATCCCAAAATAAAATTGCAGAGAGGGTGCAGGATGAAGCTGGAATTGTGTTCTTCTGCTCAAGTCCTGATGCTGTTACCTGCTGTAGGAAGCAGGAACGAAAGCCTAAACTTAGTAATGCCACCAAAGCCACTGTAGTGTCAAGTCATGGCCCCATTCAAACAGTGACTCTGAAGTTCGTCCAAGATCTTCTGAAGAGTGTTATAAGTCACTTCTCCATGGTATTTCATCTGCTAATCTGAGCAACAGAGAGGAGCATGTCCTCAAGGCAAGGGAACTAGGGAATTTTGCAGAGAAGTGTGTGTAACAGCTACCAACATGTAATCCTGCTCCCAGGCACACAGTGCTAGTGTGATGCGCAGTACCTTGGGAGTTCTGCCAGGAATCATCCAAGTCACTGTATAAGGATCCAAGCACTGTATAAGGACCAGTGTAGTTTGTAATGTTTCAGGGAGCTGCTGTAGTCAGCGAGTGCTGCACTCTGCTCTGGCTCCTCTGGCTGCCCTTGTGGGGGCTGGCGGTGCTGCTGCTCTGTGCTGGGAGTCTGCAGATCTGCTGCAGCATTCTGGGTGCCCTGTGCTTTTGCTGCTAGTCCTGCTTTCTTTTGGGTCTAGGAAAAAACTAGAGCTATTCTGGAGTCTTTCATAAGCAATTACAATTCATTCAGAGATGATTTTAGTCTGTTTTTCAGTGGCTTCCAGGAATGTATTTTTTTTTAATGTCGTTTTTCTTCATCTTGTACTTGCAAGTGGATTTCATCTTTTGGTGCAGAAAAGCCGTGTCTGAGAGACAGACATCTTCAAAGGGTTACTCTGTGGTCAGAGCATTGGACTAGGACTTAAAGGACATAGATTCTAGCTCCCTTTCTATATGGGCATGAATTTTTGGAAATCTGCTCTCCCTCTCCCATTCTATTTCCCTGTGTGTGTAAGAACCTGCTTTGCAGGGAGCACTGAGCAAGGCAAGCCCCTGAGGCAGGGCTGAGCACTAGTAGATAACTGCAGTAGCTGAAGTAGAATTTGTGCAAGCTTCTATGCTTAGAATATCTCTATCCATATCTTTGTCAGCTTCTGAAGGCTGCCAACTCAGTGTTTGATTCTGCTTCCAAGTCACTCACAGCTACTTGGGTATCTAATGGCACATAGTGGACATTCTCCACACGCTGAGAAGTACCTTTACTTTCACTTTCTGGCTTCTTAATGGACAAGGCCCAGAGGTGCCCATGTCTGCAAGTTCCAAATACCCAGAGCAAGCACATACTTAATGGTTGAACTATGTTTCTCTGAAATATTAAATACATGTTACTACACGTCTCTATATGCAAGGTCCACTTAGGACTGGCCTACAACAAAATACTGGCTGGACTTGGTGAACGTATGAGGCTTAGGGTGTCATCTTGTGGTTGTTCAAGGAAGTGCAAGAACAGCTGCAGGGATGAGTTTCTATTATTTATAGCTTGAGCTGGCTGAGGTGAATTTTTCTTTTCCTCTTCAGCTCCATTGTATTTCCTTGCATAATCTGTCTAGCTGCAGAGTATGTGGTAATTACTAGAAGTGGCAGTAGGAGGTTAAAAGTTGTCAGGAGGGTACTAGGCAATCACGTGGTTTTGGGGCAACTGAGAGCATCAGCGTGTGCTGGTGTTTGAGCCAGCACAATGTCAGTCATAAGACTGACAGAGTGCTGGCAATGACCTTGTGTGTGCTTTATGGGGACAAAAGTACACACAATGTGTGTTTTTTCTGTTTGTTTGTTTTGTGTTGTTGAAGGGCTTTCGGTTTAGCTGCAGCCTTTCTGTGGCAGTTTCAGCGGGCGAGCCGTCATCTGTGACGGGCACCCAGCAGAGTTATCGGGCAGGTTTTTTCATTTAACCACAGTCACTTTGGGCCCAGGTAATCTTGTCCGTGAAACAGAGGCTGTGTACTAGACACACAGGCAGGCATTTCAGAATATTTCAGAATATTTAAGGTTGGAAGGGACCTCTACAGATCATCTAGTCCAACCTTCCTGCTCAAGCAGGCACACCTAGAGCATGTGGCACAGGGTGGCATCCAGGCGGGTTTTGAAGACCTCCAGAGTAGGAGACTCCACAACCTCCCTGGGCAGCCTGTTCCACTGCTCTGTTACCCTAACAGTAAAGAAGTTGCTCCTCACCTGGAGACGGAACTTCTTATGCTTCAGTTTGTGGCCATTACCCCTCGTCCTATCGCTGGCCACCAGTGAGAACAGCCTGTCCCCTTCCTCCCTGCATTCTCCCTTCCTGAACTTATACATATTAATCATATCCCCTCTGAGCCGTCTCTTCTCCAGAGAAAACAGGCCCAGCTCGCTCAGCCTCTCTTCATACGAGAGATGTTCCATTCCCTTAATCATCCTGGTTGCCCTTCTCTGGACCCTCTCCAGAAGCTCCACGTCCTTCCTATACTGGGGTGCCCAGAACTGAACACAGTACTCCAGGCATGCAGCTGATAAACACATTAGCTCTCAGGCCAGAATATTTTTGATTGAGAGTGCCTGTGTACTTGCTAGAGTGAAAGAAAAGTTCATTTCTCCTTGAGTAGCAAAGAGATGAAGTAACTTGGCATTGCGCAGTTACAATGATACAACGGTTTTTGCTTCCTAGACCAGAAAGCGGGATGACAGGTACAGGTACTCTTTTAATTTTCTGCTTGCCCTCAAAGGATTTTTGCCTCAGTTCTTGACAACTGGAGGACAGTACAGCTGTCCTAACCAAATGAACCTCCCACGAGGCAGGACAGAAGAGTGGCATGAAGTTGTTTACTGCATAGGACTAAATGTTTGCTCTGTGTGAAGCGGGCATTAAGCTTCCTGCATGTTGTTTCTGCAACTCTGGAGTGATGTACAGCAGATAGAGGAGTGTTCACAGCTTGCACGAGTAGGACATGTGTATTATATATAGAGAGCACCATCATGTTCTCTTTCTTGTGAGCATGTGTTGTTTTTCCTCAATAGGACAACCTGAAAGACAGGATGGCTTCTCCAGCTTTTTGGCAGTGTTTTTAATAATCCTTGCCTCATTGTGGTGTAACTGTCAAGCTTGTGCCTGCCTGGACACAGAGGCATCTGGAACGTGGTGAACTCATCTCGGAAGGGCAACAGCCGCCACTTTTCGAATACTTGGAGAACAGGCGTGCTCAGATCTCTTGCCCCAATTCGTAATTGTTTTGGAGGAATGTTGCTCTTAACCCTTCCAATTCTTATGTAATTACTACACTTTCAAATGACACACTTTATTTAGCCATAAAATGAAAATAAGCTTGCTCTGTTTTTACTGTCAATTTTATGGCATTGATTGAGGCAGAATTTAATAGTGGAGGTTCAGCTGATGCACTTCCTGGTCATTTCTGGAGTGCTGTTTTGACAATAGTGAAGGCAGAATCCAGGTGGATGGTGACTAGTTCCAGCTGTGAGTTCTCATTTATAGGTCAAGATACTTAAGGAGTTTCTTAACAACTGAGACAATAAGGAAGCTATTATGGCTGCTGTTTGCTCCGCTGTAGCCAATGGCACTTCTCATTCAGGAAATTATTTCAAGTAACCTTCATTACCCCAGTCTGTTCAACAAAGTATAATGAGTATCATTTACCGCTTCTGTTGGACAAATATATGCTTATTTTACAATGCAGAGTTTCAGGAAAGCATAAGTGTGCCATCAAATGCAATAGTGACAGAGACTTCATCAAGGCTGACTAATTCCCACATCTTTCATAGTCATCTTCTTGAAAATAGCAGAAACTTTGATCTAGTGAGGAATGTGACTATCACACAAAGCCTGCAGGGTTTGCAGCAAATTTCCTACATTTTTCAGGTACCAGAGAAAGTTTGGACAGATGCTTTTATGAAGCAAGGTGGAATCCTAGACTGTAAACCCAAGTTCAGTGCAGAGTATTTATTGTGCCTTTATTTATAGGGCAAAGGGACTAAGTATAAATGAAGTAACTGATTTCCACATGCAGATCAGATTTTAAACAGGGTTTGAATCTGGCTTGCATATCTTTTTATGTCTAGGTTCAAGGGCATCTCTAAATCCAACGACTAGAAAGTACCTATTCAGTAACCTACTTTCTTTACAGTTACCCAATCAGTAAAGGAATCCATTAGATTTTTTTTTCAGTGAAGAATAAAAAAGTACTTCTGCACAAGTTAATAGTAAATACATGTGTACCTAAATACCTAAAAATATCTAAAATTGCAGATTAAAAAAAATGCAATTAGACTGGAATGTTCCTGGGTATTGTGGCTCTGCTTCCTCTGATAGATACTGTACAATATCTAAAATGCAGTGTGGGCTTGGAACTGATAAACAAAGCTCTAAGCTTACTTTTTTGTGGATAGTTTATTTAACCATTTGTAAATGTCACTAGGTAAACAGTAAATTAATGCTTTTGTTTCTATTCACATGCAGTTGTTGTCAAGATACATACAGTGCTGTAACTAAGAGTTTGTAGCTAACAATACTGAAAACTTTTCTAAATAGAAACTGCAAGCACTTGTTGATTGCACTGTGAGGTTTCTTTGGCATACATAATTGTAAGTAGTGCTTGTTTTTGTTTTTCATTAAGTTAAGACACAGATTTAAGGTGCACCCAACAGAATTCTCAAAATAGTATTCATTAAAACAAAACAAAACAAAAAACCCACAAGAACAGTCGAGTGATTTTTATAAAGAATGTAGTCTAAAAGCCAGGAAGGCAGAACCATGTGTAGATACCATGAAAATCAGAACATATAAATGGAACATGACCCTTCTTTTACACCAGTCATGACCCCCTGAACCTTGGCTAACCTTGGTTAAATTCTTACTTCTTATCTATTTTCCAGTTTAAAATACTAGCAAATAAAAAAAAAATGAAGAGAGCCATGCTGAATTTGGTCCACAACCTGAGGCAAAACCTCACTGCTATTTAAAACAAAAGATGAAAAGCTCTTCTTTAAATTGGCTTCACAATCTTCATTGATAAATAGTTCTGTAGGACGAAAAAACAGAGAGAAATAATGTATATAAAATACATGTAATTTTGTAAAAGATAATATTAAAATACTAAGATGTTTAAATGGGTCAAAGTATATTCAGAGTATGTAACTTCATTTAAAATGCAAAGTGGATAAAGTATTTTTGACTAAAATAGGAGATTTAGACTCCAAGCTATTTTTAACTGTGAAGGTTATTTAATACTTCTGAAGTACTCATTTGCTTAGCCTTTACTTGATAGATTAGCTTTAATGTACATTCTAACAGACTGTATCATAAAATCAGTTGAAACCATTACATAAAAAACAATTCATCTATAAGGTTACATTAGATAGAAAGCCTTATCTTGCTAGAACTGAGTAGGCAGCATCCCCCTCCTCAGTAAGCGTGTGTCCTGTAGAGTTGTACCTAAGCTAGCCATATGCTACAGCTGAAGAATAGTAACATGTAGAGTTCTTACCGGCAATGAGTAGAGGAGTACAGCAACAAACAGGAATAGAATTAGCAAGATGATAAGGCCTATAAAGAGCCACTTAAATCTGCGCCACACAATAAATTTCATTGTCTTGCATGGATTTGTAAACCACAGGAAGGAAGTATCTGGCCGGCTATGTTTTGAGAGAAACAAATATCAATCATACTATTAAAAACAGGGAATACTAAGTGTGAGAATATAACACATTCAAACACTCTGGTCCTGGAGCTGAAGAAAAGCTAGGTAGCTGCGTAGAGAGCGGCACTGGTGTTTTTGTAAATGTGTGCCGTTAGTCTGAAATCCCCTGGTGTTCTATCCGAACACACACGTAAGGAAACAAGACAGGCCCCATACACAAAATTTGGCTTAGGACAGGTGATGTCTAATATATCATCTACGGAATGCAGATTTTGTTAAGAACTTTGTGGTATGCAGGTAATGTATTTGTTAAACTGATGAGAGAAAAGTATCTTACTTTGGTAGATCTAATTTAGGGTTCATGTTGGGTTCATCTCTTCCTTTACCAGCTGGTCTTTCCTCAGCTTCTTTTTCATTGACAACTTCCAAGGTCATTTCAACTTTGCCCTTTGGAAAACAAAGCCGTGTTTAATGTAAACAAACATCTTATGAACAAATGAGGAAAAAAAAATGTATGGTATCTATATAGCAGAGTTTTGTATGAGCTCCTTACATGTATATTTTAACTTCTATCTCAAAATACACTTTCTTCTGCACTATCACAGTATCACAACTTTGTATCATAGGATCACAAATAAAAGAATGAGCAGGATTATTTTGTGTGCTGCATTTATCTGAAGTTTTACTTTAAGCTGTGTTGTTTGTTTCCAATTTAGCAAAACCTATGCACAGTAAGAAAAAATAGATTTGGTTTTGTACAAAGAACAGCCTGTGGCCTTCATCCTTTTCCTAAGCCTCTTTTTATAATGTTGCAGGTTATATTTTTATCATCTTTTCCTCATTTAATTCCATAAGAAAAGCTTAAAGGTAAAAGCATTAGAAAGAAGCAGCGGCAGATACATTTGATAAAGCCTAATATTCTAACTAGTGGTGAATAGTTGTTTATATTTTACATATATCTTAAGTACAAGGTTCAGCTGCGTGTTTGAATATCTTAAGTTATTTGGGTTAGAATTATACTAGTGGTGAATGAATAACTACTTCCAGCTAGACCCTTGGCAATTGAAAAAGAAAGCCGGGTTATAATGCTTTTTGTTTTTCTGCTTGCCCTCATATCAAGGGGATAGTCTGGCTTTTCCAATTTTCATAAATTATTTTGTGTATGAAAATGCTTTCCACATTCAAACTCAAAACTTTATTGAAAGCTAACATCAAAAGAGGTAATTTTTACAGTCTTGCTTCATTATTTTAAAACCAAATGAACACTGAACACAGTGCTGTGTAGAGAAGCAATAATCATACCGCTAAAATACGGGAGCCATCCTTTTCTACGTAGCACGGCCACCAGCCCTTCATGGATTTCTGCTCGAAGAGGGAAGCAGTCTTGTAACCCTTCTGAGGATTATCCGTTTTGTAGTCTGGAATCATATCAATATTGCACTTTTCTGGAACCTTGGCGGGAATGACTGCTTTGTGTAAATCAAGCTCAACAAAACCTAGGAGAAAAAAACGCATGCATTGTGTAAGCCACTCACCCAGACAGAACAGTGGTTCAGGTGAACCTCGCTTATTTCTACAGGAACAACTTCTACAGGAACAACCTCACCAACCATGCTACATATGTCTGCCTAGGGATGTTGGGAAGCAGATAGGTGGGCCTAAATGCAGGCTGGTGCGTCCCACCTTGATATGTTGAAAACAGTGGTGTTCATAAAACTGACTTAACCAGTTCTTCCCTTCCTTCCTTTTTTTAGTATGATCACTTTTTTTAGTCCTTTTTGTTTTTGTATGGATTTCTCACCTCCTTCACCCCGAAACTAACCAATATAAGCAATATAACAGCTGTGTGACTCTTGATAGTTAAACATGATTTTTGCTTACATAAATAGTCAATAGAAATCAGTGGTATTTTTAGCACTTGAGGGATATGTGGTTTGCATGTAATTTAAAGACTTAGAGCTTTCAGAATGCAGGGCAGAGAACAATCCTCTACAAAGCTCTGAAGTGATCCACAGAGGAGCTGAACATTATAGAGAAGTATTTCTTAAAAAGACATTTTTGTTTTGTGTAAGCTTGGTATTTAATGTCAAAAGCCTAGGTAATGCTAAAGCAGGAGTCAGTTTCAGAGCAGAGCTTTCAGTGTGTCAGTAGTTGGAGACACACATCCTTATAAAGGAGTTGCAGTTAAATGATCATAGTGCCTAAAAGGAAATATCAGACAGGGAGTATTGAGACCAGCAGTCTCAATCAAGTACCTACTGCTGCTGCTTTTCACTGTGTGAGAGTAGAGATGTACCTGCATGCCCAGGGGCTCAGTGGTCCACTGAAAATGTACTTCTTATGCAGTATGTATTTCTTTAATTTTCATGTATTTATTTTTTTAGAAGCCTTACCTAGATAGTCATCCAAGGAGAACTTGTCATTATCCCATATCTGAATGATCAGTTTGGGTGGGATTCTGAATTCTGTCTTGTCAAGACTCCAAAAATGTTCCTAGGAGTTAAACAAAACAAGCAATTAAAAAAAAAAAAAAAAAAAAGTATTCTGAATAACTTGGTGTCTTGCTACTCTTCTTAGAAAATTGAAAACAGCACATAAAAAAAAAAAAAAAAAAAAAAGGGAACTTCTAAGAATTACATATGAAAATTCAAGGTTGTGATCTGTTCCTACATGTGACTTTGGATGGAGGGGAATATGTAAGGGTTGAGAGGGACAGAACTAAGGATTTTATCTTGCTAAGAGGAAACTGTTGTTGCCAAGATGTTGTTCCTTGCCCAAAGACAAACCTGAACCTGTGCAAAATAGTTTGAGATGTGATGCATGTAGAATACAGCCAAACCTCCTCTTACAATATGTGCATAAAATAGACAGAATTGTAAGACTAATTACAACTTGAGCTTTAAGAATTGAAGTCTTTAGAAATACCTACCTTTTTAGAAACTGTACAGAGTTGTTCTGCTGGAAGATAGTCAAAAGGAAAAACAAATCTCCAGTTGAAGTTCCCTTCGCCATCCAGTGATCGGTAGTGAACATCTGTTTTCTGCTTATTTTCTTCATTACCGGGCATCCATCTGAAAATGACAGGCAGATGTGGCTGGTGGCTGCAGTGGAGCTACAGCACTTGTCTGTGCTGCAGTCACATCATTAAGCAGTTGCAAACAAGCTCTAAGTGCTGGGCCACAGAAGGCTGCTACAAACTTTCTGAGTTTGGTTACAATCTGTCATTGTAAATAGGAATGTCTGAACTGAACTGGCAGTCTAACAAGACCTACTCTTCAACAACGGTGATTTTTTTTTTTTTTTTTTTTTTTTTTTTTTTTTTTTTTTTTTTTGATATTAGCTGAACTTCTCTACTACTATCTTCCTGTGGCTTTAATTTCCTTTTTTTTTTAAAATGAGGCTAATTTCTGGGATTTTTTTTTAAACTCATTAACTGATCATACTTTATCTCATAATACCTCCATACTTCTCTGAGGTAAATAGCATTTCAGAGGGTGCAGGAGGCACAGATAGCTTCTTTGTCTGTGACTGATATTCTAGAGGCACTTCACTTGAGTCAGGAGTCATCTTCCTTATGTTCTGAAATTGCAAAGCTAAAAGATTTTGGCAGAGCTCTAAAACGCAGCTAGGGTGTGTACAGCGAGCATGCTGTTTCTTCAGCGTGGCTGAAGTCAAGTAATGGTCTTTGGTCCCCATGGTCTAGGCATTCACAGGATATTCTGCACCTACCCCTTCACATAGATATCACTCATTTCTTCTCCGGTGATACTCTTTTCATCCAACAGGACATCTTTGGTGTTCCAGACAATTACCCGCAAGATATACCTGGGAGGCAAGATATTTGAGGGAAGACAATTGAATTGCTTTGTCAGGACAGCCAGATGGGTATGTAGCAGACGGATATACTCACTTCTTGGCTTTTCGGGGTGTGATGTTGAAGGGAGGGCCTGGAGGTCCTAAGCTTTTGGGGAAAACATCAACCCACATCTGCAGCTTTCCCTGTATCAGGGGAGAAGTTGGATGAGGGGTTATTTGGTTGTCATGATAATTCCAAGGTGCTGCCTACTTACATCCCTAGCACTGCTAGCCACAGTTCTAAAAAGTACTATTGCTAGTTCTAGCACTACTAGTTCTGTTACTGTCTAAATAATTCTTACTCTCTAAGTCCAAGATTTTGTTCTCTCAAAGGTTATAGCACAAATTTGAGAGATGTGGCTGGTGCTTTGCAAAAGATGGCCTACCCCAAGGAGCTGATCAGCCTCGCCAACTATGTAGATTATTTATGTAAGGCAACCACTGCCGATTTTTCTTTCCCATTTTTCAACTGCAAGCCTGTTTCTTTATTCTTGCAGTTGATTTCTCTGTTTGATATAGGACACTTTTATTGATGGTTTAAAAAACAACAACAACAAAAAARCCACTGGTTAATCAATAAATTCTGGAAAACAAATGCTAATATTTATTGCTTTCTTACAGATATAAATCATCCTCTTCAAATTAGCATCTGAGGACCCTGTAGAGAACTGACAAGTCAGTTTTCATTTTTTGGAAATAGCTACAAAACGTTTCAGACAGGCTCCCTCCTTTATTGCTGGCATGGTATTAATATAGGTATTCTAGCTTATTTCAATAATAAAGTAATAAATAATTCCCAGTTTCCACTCTGCCAGTGTCCAAAATCATCATTTATAGCTCGTAAGAGCAGAACATAATTGCATTATGTTGTGTTTCTAATATAATCTGATTTCGTTTCTCAGCTAAGCAGCAGTATCTTGAATTACTGCAAGAGCTACATCACTATCCCAGTGATACTACCAACTTACTGACCTGCTTATGGCAGCATATTATGAATCTAGCAATATTCTTATTTCTGCAACTGAGAAACCCCAAATGAATCCAGTGAAGGGTTTACGGTACCTGTGGGATGTTGGGCTGGAAGGTGCTATACAAGGTTCTTGTCTCCACATGTTCAGGGACCAAGCCCTGGGTTCTGAGGATATGAAGGGCCAGCCGCTCTTCACTTGAACCCAGATGCTGATGCAGTATTTTGTTAGCTTCTGAAATAAAGGAAAGGAAATAGAATGGACTAATGACCCAGAATTTGAACTTAACCTTCCTCCCTCCCACTTTTTTTTCTTTTTTTCATGAATAATTGAGAAGTTATTTTCTTATATCAGTGTTAACTTAAGAAATATATAATTAGTGAAGCAGCTTACCAATTTCCTCCAAACTATAGTCTCGTCCTCCGTAATTAATTCTTCTGCCATTTTCAGAGAGGACTGGAGGAGCATGGCCTTTAAACCTGGCTACGTTTTGCAATAACTGGGTTGGTTTTAGTTGATCACGCCAGGTATTCACACCAGAGCTTTGGGAAAGAAAAAAACACATCCCAAAACTGTTAAAACATTTCACAGAATGCATTTGGGGCATTTACAAGTTATGTAAAATATATTTATTAGTTTTATATCAATTCATAATGAGCTACACTATCTGAGTAGAGATTTGTGAGGTAAGTTTGAAAGAGTTTAATTCCATACCTGCACAAGTTACCATTTGAGACATAGTGTGCTTTTTCTTTATATTAACAAAGTAACTTACGCTATGCGAGGCTTTCATGTTTATTCCGAAAGTAGGTCAGAAAGTTCTAAGTGTAAGTTCTCCATTCACAAAGAACACACCACTGTATGAAGAGTTCAATATTTGAAGTCCTGTTTTCTAGATCCATAGCTCTTCTGAAGACTTTGCAGCTTCACTTTGAATTCAGATGATCCAGTGAGTGCTACAAGCAACCTCGGCATTGTTTTCAGCTCAGTAACGAAGCTGAAGATGGTCCAGGTTTGTTACAGTGACCACAGGCTACATGTTACAGATGCAATGCTCAGCAGACAAAATGCAACTTACACACAGTACTGCTGTGGGATGCCACAGTGCGATCCGTAGCGAGACAGGAATCTGTTTTCAAGATCAATGATGGTTTCGCCTACTTTTTCATCACGAGTCAGCGTGTCATAGTCATAGACTGAAATTTTCAGATCCTTTTCTTGAGGTAAGAAGCAACTGAGTTCATACATTCTAAATATAAAAATGTTCAGTTAACACTATTTTTAAAAAAATGCATTTTTGAAAAATCACATCTACAAGGTATTAAAGAGACCTTTCCAGTAGCAATATACTTGGAAGTAGTTACATTCTTTACTGTGTATTTGCACACGCTAAAAAATCTGTCTGTGCTTCTGTGGATATTACATTCTCGCTTTCTGAGGGCAGCACGTGTTACTCCAGAGGTTGTCTGTGCAGCAGCCTGAACGGTGACTGAGATAGTGGGGATCTGTAGGACACTCCATATAAAGCATCACTATTTAATTAACTTCCAACTCTTTACATTGCAATACAAATATGTTTGGAACCTTGAAACGTATGGGCTATGCATTTAGCTTCTGCAACCAGAATTATGCTACTGTCTAGTTTCTCTACACAGAAACAACTGTAGAACTTCTTAAAATTAGTTCTCTGAATTTACTTTCAAACTATTGTCTAATGGTTTCCACTGCTGATGAATGCATTACCCTTGGGGAGAAGTATTCCACTGGTTAGTTATTCTGAATATATATTTTTTGTTTATTTCAATTTTAACTTTGACTTCCAGGGTCATTAGTGAAAAAAAAAGGAATTTCAAAGTTACTTTTCACATGTAATCAAATACCGTATTTATCTTCTTCTTTCTAGGCTAAAAGACTGAACTCCTGGGACACCCCATTGTTAAGCATGCTTTTCTTAAATGCCTTATAGCCTCTCTCTTTGTCTAATTTATCAAAAATTCTCCAACTCTGGACAATTTTACTCTTTAGTAAAAGAAGATTCAACTTCTGCATTTCTAATTAGGATTCTTCTGTTTATGTATTTCGAATATACCATTAGGTTTTGAAGCCAGTACCCACAGACTGGGTGTTTATCTTCAGCTGACTATTCACCACACCAGTCAAGCAGTTTTCAGTTACGACTTTTTCATATTCTTCAAGCACATTTCATTGTTCCTGCACACTTAACATAATGAATTTTAACATATACCTCAGTCATTTTTGTACAGTGCATATGCTACACAAAGTCTGCAAACTAGCAAAAAGCTGTCCACTGATTTCAGAGAGAATATGGCTAAAAACAAAAAAGAATTAGAAATGCAATTTTTGTCCCAACACAATGTTAACTATACAATTGTGATTACAGTTTTGGATATTGAAAATAACGTTTTATTTGATGACATTAGGGGAAATAATATGAAAGCATTCTAAAATACAATATATCAAAAAGGAAAAAAAGTTACCTGCCAAAAATGGGGTTGAGAGTATTGGGTATGTAATTATCTCTGTCTTCGATCACTTTTTTATTTAGTGTTATTTTTATATAAGGATCACACTATTTAGAAACCAAAGAAAAAATGGTTACGAATTCGTTGTCAGTATAGTAACCTTCTTTAAAATACACCTCAGCAGAGGTGGCCCCCCCACACATGAAGCCACAGGGTCTCACCAGCCCGTTGCTATCCTGTGGCTGCAGCTGCAGAGCCCGCACGATGTAAATGCGCACGATGCACTCCTGCGGCCCGCTGTCCGGGAGCTCGCGGAACTGGCGAGGAGGAGCCGGAACAGTAGGATCGTCGGGTAATGCATAGATTTTAAAGGATCCCTAAAATAATCATTAAAAACTCTCATCAAGAAAAATTTAAGAAAGTCACTCTAACCAGTTCTGGGTTTTTTTAGTAATCACATGCATACATAGTCCATTTTTACACAGGAATAGCAACATTACAGCCTAATCAAAGAGTTTTTTAGAAGTCTTCTTCAACTTCAGTGAGCTTGGGATAAGATCTACCACCAAGGTAAAGTTACATCCACTTCAGATCTAAAATAATAGAACTTTTTTTCATTGCAACAGAATTAATGAGTTTACTCCAGATGAGAATCCATAAAACACTTCATTTTTCTCTCCAGTGCATCAATTGTGATTTTTAAAAAAAATTAATGATATTATGAAAATGTTTCATTAAACATGTTTACACTTTGAAAATTTGAAAATCCTTAAAAGCCATAGACAAAGTCTGAAAAATACTACACTATGCCTTTTTCTGAGTAATTTTATAAATGTATTTTGCTGAGCATGTCTGCATGTGGTTCTGTTGGTTCTGTTCTCCAGGGTATCAGGGATGTTTCTGTTACATAGGTATTTAGAAAGCTTAAGATTATATAAATTATGTATGTGTTTCTAATGTGTATGTGTTTTCTAATATGATGTATCACATTTAGAGCAAGCAATTTGCTCTAAATACTGTACTTGAACAAAAAAGGGGCCTTAAGCTAAACACTTCAGAATACTTGCTGAATATATTCAAGCCTGCACCTCTGTTGATGTTTAAATGCTTACATGCACATGTGCTTATTGATTACCACTTAGAGAGAGAGGAAAGACTATACCCAGCGTTTTCTGTTACCCATTACCTGAAATTTACCTTAAACTCCCCTACCACCGATGGATCATCACTGTCTTCAGATTTGCCTCTGTACAGTTTAAAGGTCTCGCAGAAGTCTGTTAAGCCATTAAATTCAGGGACCTTTTCCAATTCACAGTCATACACCTTGAAAAAAGCAGGGGGAGAGGGGAGAATTAAAACATTTAGATAATACCATATATGTGAGCTCCATTAGTAGCGTCAAGACGCATGATGATACATCTTAAGCAACCAAAGCATTGGAGACTATTTTTGAATGTAAGGGAAAAGGAAGATTCATTTAGGTCTTGTTAAAAACAGACTAAATAACCATTCCTAGCCTTATTTCTGCTTTCATTAGGAATATTAGCTGAGAAACAAAAGCGGTCTGGCTTCAGCTTTTAACTAATAGATAAGAAAAGTTACCGCTCTTACTTTTTCAGGGTTATTTTTTCAGTTCTGGAATCTGCCTGGCCCCAAGAACCCAAAGTTAAGAGTAAAATTCTATTTGAACAAAGGTTGTGCTAAGCATTCAATACATCTAGTAAATAAATCACTGTGGTTAAGCAGAGAAGAAACAAAGATTTCTGGAAACTTTCACTCCACCACATGAATTAGTAATAGACCTATATATGTAATCATCAACAGTTGTATTTTGAAAAGAGCATTAACAATTAAAAGAAAAAAGGTACAGCTCTGACAGGGTATTATTATTGTAAACTTTAGCAATTATTTTATTCTGACCAGTACCTTTAAAGTATCATATCCCTTTTTAATATACTGTCCACATTTTTCAGGTTCTCCCACTGAAGCATAAAATTTGCTCCACCAATCAACAATTTCTTCTTCCTTAAAAATAAACAAAGTCTTACTAGCAGATAAGAAACATTCATGTTATCCATTCCAGCTTCTCCTATAATCATGCTGTACAGCAGAAACAACCAATAATTAAACACACTAAAACCTTACTATGAAGATGAAGGAATATTAAAGTAAGTTCCTCAGCAAGAAAGAAAATCAGAGTACAACTGCTGAAGAGGGGTATATGTCTAGTTTATAATCCAGCTGTGTCTATATTCAACAGATCAAGAGATCTTGATCTCAAGAGATCAATAAAATACCGGTGTCCAGACAGTTAGATCAAAGGACTGATTTCTGCAGGTATACACGGGGCTTCCGTCCCAGGCTCCTCCAGCACTGCCTACTCGCCTAGCTTTTAGAGGGTTCAAGTTAGAGGAAGTGAGTCCATTCCAAGCAGCTCATGATACACAGAGCGCTCAGGCCTCCTGTCTATCCAGTCTGGTACTGTGCCATTGGGAGCAGTTACTATTTGCCACTTTTTTTTTTTTAATCTTTTCTCCTTGAGCCAGAGCAGTCACTGTTTCGGTTGCTGAGGAGAAGCACTGTCATTCTTAGAATTCATTACAGAAATTTCAGTAGTGTGAGCAGTGACTATATTGAGCGTGTTGAAAATTTTTCCTGTATGGGATAAATTAGCTAGTCTGTTTTCAGCTGGGACTCATTCACAGCACTGGGACAGATCTATAACTGCTGTAAACAAAAACTGTTCTCAAAGCCACCAAGACACAGAGATCTCCTGTACCCTGACAGAAGGTTGTTCACTGACATCAGTAATTCTACCTTATTGTTGATCAAATGCAGTTGGGAAAGAAAGAGCAGTGAGGTCTGAAAAAGTGATATTAAAATGTCTAGGAATAATACATTGCCACTAAACGTGCAGTCATGTTTTCAATATATTATTATGTTATTTATCCATAGCAATTACATAATTCCCCCCAAAACATACTCTAATTTGTAATGCTGTCCATTTACTGTGTAAATTTGAAACATATCTTAAGGAATATATAAGATCTTAGATTAAGGTTTAAGATTTAGAGTTAAGTATTATACAGATAATTATGTTTTAATAACACAGATTTACTGTATTGCATAGTTTTCCTGTATTTTCTACTGTACAAATTGCTGGTAGATTTTATAACATACTTTCAGAAAATAACTATTCTCCACCTCTGAAAATATGAGTATTAAAAGACAGAAATATTTGTAATTGCAAATACATGCAAGAAAGCAAGGATTTGATTTTTAGAACTAGTATACATTACCTTTTCTGTAAGCTGTTCTCCATAATTATAAAAAAAGAGGAAGAGAGAAACAAAGGTTAAGATAGCAATTATTACATTTTGTATAATTTTCATAGAATGCTTAAGGTTGGAAGGGACCTCAGAGGTCACGCAGGGTCACCTAGAGCACGGGGCACAGGGCTACGTCCATTTTAAAAAGTAATAGTAATTTACAGATTTTTTTAAAGAATATTTTCTTTTTCCTCTTTGCTTTTAGTACCGCCTAAATTGACTATATAGATTAAAAAAAGAAAAAAATAATAGGACTGTAAGATGTTATAGCCCTGTGCTATATATTTTTTAATTCATGTAAGAAAGCAAAACAAAAGAGAGAACAAATGGTTTTTGTCTTTAATCACTAACTTCTCTCTTTGCAACCACAGATAGCAGCAGTGGGTTGTAGTAGTTTGAAAATCAACAAATGGAATCCAAAGATCCGACTGATCTTTTTCAGACAAAAATGTTTTTGAGTACTTAAAAAATCAGTATTTTCTAGACAAATTTCACACAAACAAGTTGAAGCCCTTTTTGTACCTTATAAGTATTTACTTCTAGAAACATAACAAACAAAAATCTTATTAAAAATCAAACTTATAATGCTTAACAGCATTTTCCTTTCTCCTGTCCCTTTGCAGTTGTCCACAGGCTGTGGAATTTCAGGAGTCGGAAAATGTGAAAAGAAATTAAAGTACAGGGGCAAGGATTATGTGTCTACAAACAGTCTGCACTGTCCAAAATGCTTCATGTGTTAGATCACAGATACCATAATTATAACCAGGTATTCCATAGGGAGCAAGCATACGTATCCCTTTTGGAAGCAATGATTAGTGAGAAGCTATGAGTGAGAGTGGTTTGCGCGTAATCCATGTTGTTGAATTTAAAGATACAATCTTTAAATTTTTATGTAAAGCAAAGGAAATATGAAGAACATTACAGAAGTTAAACCAAATGCATCAATAGATCAGGACATCACTCTGGTACATCATACTCAAGCTGTTCTCTTTCTCTTCTGAAAGTAACTATCTCCTTAGGATGTTGCTATCTCTTTTAATGATCGTATCTATCTTGAAATTAGAATTATAGCTTTTTCTTTTCAGATTTGTCTAAGAGTTTGTCAGATCTTCCGAAGGCAATTTGAGTGATTTATTCTCAGAAACCATGTCATTATCAATATGCAAAACTTAAAGCAAGTTTTACTCAATATTTTACTGTATTTGAATTTGACTTCCCTTAAGCTCTGATTTATAACTTTGACAATAGGAATGGTGGCTTTCATTCCTATGCGATAAGCATATTAAAATAAAGTTTCCATAAAATGCAGTAGCACAGATCTCTGAATCTTTCATCAAAGTGTAATGCTGAAAGTTCTAAAATCAGATTTGTTTTTCCTCGATATTCCCTCAAATGTCTCCTCAAATGTCTCCTCAAATAATGCACTTGGTAGATTCAGTAAGAAAAGAAAAAATAAATAAACCATAACACTTTCTTTAAAATCTCCCCAAGCAAGTGACATTTAGATACCGTTGTTACTAAAACCAGTAAAAAAACAAAACAGTAAAAGCAGAATATGCTCACAGGATGCCAAAGAAAAATGCCATATGATAAATTTGAGATTTTGGAGTGAAATATCACATAGTAAAGAGCATGTAATCATTATTGTACATTTTTCTAGTTATCCAGTGACTGCACTATAGATTGTTGCAAGATACTTAGATTGAACTGCTAAGTTTTTGAACAACTTGAAATTATGGAAAAAAAAAACTATTGAGAGAAACAGTGGATTCCTAGCCAAGTTAGTTTTCACTTTATTTATTACAGATTTTATTCTCCAGAAAGCAGATCAGTTAACAAATTTTTAAACAGTAATAGTGAGGTTAAATCAGTCCTGTTAGTTTTGGTGCTTCTGGTAATGTAGCTTGCAAAAAAATTGAGACAAAAAGAAAGAGAAAAAAAAAAAAAAAGGTTTTAATAGTTTGTTGTGCAAAAGCAGTAAGGATTTTTTTTTCAGAAAAATTTCAACGATAACTTGATAGCTGTAACTAATTCTCTTAGACTTCTCACAAGCATCATCTCCTCCAAAATCTCTCTATGGATTAATTGTCAAGAGAAGCTCAGCCTCACAGCCACAGGATGTGAGCACCACCTTCCATTCCCCCGCAGCCCTGCTGTGGTCATCTCCATGCATTAATGCGTACGTACATACATACATGCACTGTTGTTGGAGAAGCCATTTTGCTGAGTGCTGTTGACATACTGCTTAAACACTGGAAATGGGAATGTAATTGATGAAATTTTGGTATTTGCCATCTTTTCAGCGCAGTGGCCATATCACTTATGCTTCCCTCAGTTGTATACACTTTTTGTTTTAATTGCTCTAGATATTTTTACCTCTCTCATACAGCTGTTATCACTGTATACAGTGTTACAGTACATTTGGCTCAAATGGTGCCAAACTCTAAAGACACATTTCATCTTACGCAGTGTTTCAGTGATACCAGTTCTGGGTGACTACATGGTAAGAGAGGCAGAGCCACGACTGTGATAAAATGAACTGAGGGTCTTTGGACCCATGGCTTTGATTCTGTACCCATCAAACCATACACCTCCCTGTATTTAGAACTGCCTGGTCTGTGTGAGATCAGGCTGCTCTAAACATCATCAGTGAATGACTGCTTAATCTATTATATGCTTTCAGTAACTATAATAATGTGTTCTATTAAAATACCATGTAAACTATGCACAAAAAGCTCCAGTTGAACGTTTGCTATATAAGAAAACAGGGTAAAACAATTAACATATTTCCCTTGCTTCCTTGATGCAAAATAACTTTGTTCCAGAAGGTTACATGTATTCCTGCTGGTTTTGCTATCCAGAGTATCTTGGAAATCCCAGATCCAAAGAAGAAAGCATCAAATTTAAAAGATTACCTGAGTTGCTAGCAAGGGCTGTGTGTCTTCCATTTCAATCACAGTATCTCGGGGAGGTGCAGCGGACAGAAGACTAACTGTAAGCCAAGAATTTTATTAAGGCAATATGCTGTAGGAAGCATACCTTTGAAATCCAAAGGGTTGAGAGATATGTACAGTCTCTGAATTATTTGACACTGGACATTTTTATGCAAGCAAGTAGTTGCCACATTTGCTAAAAAATACAGTTATACATACAAGAACTATTTGTGCTATGTACACAAATGTTTCTCAAATGCACAGAATTAAAAATAACATAATTTAACAAAAATACAGAGGAAAACAACAGCTTTACATTCAGGGCATTTTTGATGGAATATGGCCTCTATCTTGAAACTAAGAGCAATGGTAATAGCAGGTAGTGAAGTTCCGAGTTCCCTCTCAAGCGGAGCTTCAGAGGACCAAGACTTGCTCTGACAATAGATTGTTCCCTGCATTTTCCAGCCACCTACCTTTCAGCTGCGGTGTGATGTCTTCTTTAGCAGTGTAGGGGTCACAGCGAAAGCTCTCTAGCAAGTCTATGGTGCACTGTCCCACGATGGGCTTCCGCCCAAACGGTCTGTGGTCTATCACTTTAATAACAAGTGATGGACTGTATAACTCTTCTTTTGGGAGAAGCTCAAAACAAAAAAAAAAAAAACAAAAAAAGATTTTGTTTCTAATGCAAACAGGGACAACTGAGAAGACATTGATTTTTTTTCCCTCCCCAAATCAGAGCTTTTACTTCATTTAATACTGAACTATTATGTTCAGTGGTTGTATAGCAATAAAATTTCTAACCTCATATTACAATGATTGAATAGAGAGCAATAAAGAAACTTCCAAGTGCCTCAAATCTTGGATGTTCTTGATTCCTGTACACCTCCCATGCTTGCAGTATGAAAGTGGCCATACAGATTTGCAGGTGGATCAATTCCCTCTCAAATAAATACATATATCCTGTACTACTGCCTGTGACACTATTTTTAGGCATGTGTGCAGACATGTTTACATGACCTTTATTACAATTTTCAATCTCAGTAAATGACTTACGTTAAGCATGAAAAGGATGTGCCTTTTTTTCCTCTTCTGTTTTGCATAATAAATCCTAGACCTTAAAAATCCTAGACCTTTATTGCATAATAAATCCTAGACTAATGCAGCTATAGATAGCTCATATATAGTTTTTAGGTAAGTACCACTTTCATGAAGAGAACAGAAGATGGGAAATTTGGTGTTTTTTTGAGGTTTTTGATCACCACAGATTCCACCATTTCACCTCCACATTCCACAATCAGACTTGGAGACATAACAGGTGCCAGCTGGTAGTTTTTCATGTTCCGCAATCCCCAAGCCAGAATCTGTAAAATATATTTTAAAATACATTTTTTAATAAGGCAAATAGACTCTGGAGCATGAAATGACTGTACTTTAATTCATTAACTTTAAGAATAAACTACCTCAACAGCAGTGAGTTGAACTATTGGCCTGATTCCTTGAGGTACCATGTAAAGTTTTGGTGCTCTTTGTGATGGAAGAATTGGAAGGTTTGAACCGCCCTGTTAAGAAAACCACATTGATAAGAGTTTCTCTCCTATTCCTTAAACAAAAGAGCTTACAAGTATTAAGACATATGCAATATAATTCGTCACATTATTGCTTTCTGTGGAACACTATAAAAATGTATATACCTTGTCCCTCAAAATAAGTTCTGCAGCAAAAAGAATGTCACCACTAGCTTTGCCATTATTTATTACAGGATACCAGAGCAGCTTTGGTGTGATGTCATCTTCGGGATTTAACTTGACCATGGGGGAGCAAACACTTCTTCCAAGAAATTCATCTTTACCCTGCACAAATAGGAAAAAAAGAAAAAAAAAAAAAGTAATCCTAGTGATTAATTAATTTGTTACCATCAAGTAGAAGAGAATCAAACAAGGTAAAAACTTCACATACCACTTGGTCACTGTCAAAAAGTTCAATAACAACATTAGGTGGGTTTTGGGCTACTGTCTGTGGGTCTCCATAAATATCAATTTCATTAAATATAAGAGTTTGGTCCCATGTAGGATTTAGAGTTGAGTGAATGATCTCAGTTGTTTTGCTTTGATGGAGGAAAGAAACATGAGCATACGGATCTGAAATATTATATAAAGATTAAAAGCATATCGTTACAAACAAAACCTTATCAAGCCGCAATTTGTTAACTGTGATACATTATTTTTCTTCTTTTCAGTCCTTACCAGCTATTCTATGTAAAACCATTCTATATAAGGCCACATCTAGACATCAATTGTATTTACCAGAGCAAATTCCGTTTGCTTACTAAAGAGTTCCTTTTACTTAAGTCTTGATTAACGGACTTGAAATGATTAAAATATCTTATGAATCATAATTCATATCCTGAATTTTGCACATAAAAATTTAGGGCAGTTGTTGTTCCTTTGTCTTATTCTTAAATGCAACATACTAAAATAAGATCAATGTAGTGACACGCTGGCAGCAGCTATTAAATAAATACATACAATTAAAAATCAGAAAAGAGTACTAACTTATCTATGTATTTGTGTAATCTGTGATAAATGAAGTTATACACTATACTTGACCATTCATTAAAAAAGGGGAGAAAAACAAGTATAAAACTGAGGGCTGGTATGGAAAGAAAATTCCAATGGAAGTAAACTCCAGCTTCCCCTCTTCATTTTTATCTGTAACTGAATTTACTTAAAACAAATGTAAAGTCTTACAAAAACCAGTATCGATTTGGTCACACCACTACTTTTGGACAACTTTTGGGACAGGATTAACTAAATCTAGATCATATGGGATAAAGCTGCAACTCCCTTCCTGACATAGTTTCAGTAGCTGGAACCTTTACACAGACTTGACTGTCTACAGCTACATCAATAGTTCACTGCAGAACTGCATTTCTACACTATTAGTAGGATTTTTCCATACCTGAAAAACTGTCCTTGTCTAAAGCCATCAGATTTCTTGCCTGGTAGACGTAACAGCGAAGGTGGTAACTATATACTCCTGAATTAAATAAATAAAAAGAGTTCAAATGCACTGGCTCTATACAGACATGTTTCCTCTAATGAAACTATTTTCAGTTTATAAACATGCCTTAAACTGTTTTTCAAATTAAGCAGCAGCACTGTAGAAACATTTCTTCACTCGTAGCACACTACTGTACTAGAACCAACAAGCCAGCACCTCTGCACATTGGTTGCAATCTAACTTAAAGCAGGGAAAAAAAACCCTGCAAATGTTGGGTTTTTTTGTTTGTTTGTCTTTTCTTTCTCCTCCTTCAAGTGCATGATCGTTTAAGAATCCTTCTACTCCAAAATTCCTGTTTGGAACAGTGCAATAATTAGCTCATACCAAGGCTTAGAGAGGAGTAAGGGCTGGGTACTGCTGTACTTAAGTATCTCATAGCGGCAGGCAGTGTTCTCCTGCTGCTCCCAGTGCCTCCTCCTGGCCAGACCCAGCACTGTCTGACTCTTCAGAGAGCTGGTTGAGTGAGTTAAACCAGCAGAAGACTAACTGCACGTTCATCTTCCCTGCTGGCCTAACTCCCTGCAGAGGCTTGTTATAGACAGAGCACCAGGCTAAAAGCTAGGCAGCATAAAATTAATGCAATAGCTGCTATTAGAACTCCCGTTTCCTACAGATTTTAAAAATGTTTGACTGATGCTGAACAAATAAAAATTATTTGATCCAGTTAATGTTTCCGTACTCATTTTTTTATATTAAAATGTATGCTAATATGAACATTGACATATCAAAATGAATAATTGTAATATCTTATAATAGCTTAAACATGGTGCAAATAAGGATCACATGGTAATTTTAACAGGAAATAAATAAACCTAAATGTAAAACAAAGGCTTGTGATCTTGTTTGAGACCAGAGAGATAACTGCAACTTCTAAGAAAAGAATTAAGAACCTACTATCGAAGTAGCAGGAAACAAGGGGTGTATTGGCACCAAACACCTTTGTGGCAGACTCCTTCGTTTTGTCTGTACTCTTCCCTTCTCCATCGTCCGTACTGATGTCTGCTCCCTAAAGTTACATATAGAAATAAAAAGTCACTGCACGTGACTCAGAATAAACTTGATACAAGTGGGAGTGTATACTGGTTTCAGGTCAGGGAGGAATTTAAGTTCCTGAATTAATGTACTTTAAAGGATCTTTATTAATGCAGGAATCATTCCTTATCATCATTGAAGCTGTACAAAAATCAGATCCAGCCATTTTCACTTATGTGGGAGAATGTCTTGTTTTTGAAGAGGCACTGGCTACTGGCTATCAGCTCTGGCTGAAGGAGAGGTTACAGGTCCTCTCTTCTGTCCCCCTCTAGAGATCTGCACTAGCCTGCACTGGTGAATAGAGCTTAAATACTCTTAAGTAGTCTGAAACATTGAGGAATAATTACATGATCTGACCATCTACCTGTGACTTAGGTCATTCCAGCTTCTCAGATGCTTCAGTATTTTTTTTCTCTCTTATTTTATACATGTAAATATTAAGGGCAGCTATTTCAGTGCCTGCTGTTTCTACTGCTAATGTTAGTGTATCTGCATGAAGAGTGTGAGCTGTCTTTTCAGTTTATTCACAGAAGGCTCATGTATTTTGGCCTTTTGCTTTAAATGTCACACAATAATAAAAAAAATAAAGAATCAAGCAATGCAAGAGTTTGAGCAGATACTTCAGTAGTCTCTTTAAGGCTTTAAATGTTTTAAACCATGTAAGCTACACCAGATCCTCAGTTGCATATCAGCCTAACCATTTAGGAGCTATAATGGTATAAATTAAAAGACTGAATGTTTTTAATGACTTGATATGCAGCACCTTACCAAAGCACCCTCAAGTTTAAAGATAGCTGCAGCACCATGTGTCTCCGAGGGAGCCATTTTCCGTCTCCACCGCCTTCGACGGAACGTATCAGAACTGCGCTGTTTCCAGTGGAATTTCCAGCCAATCAAAGAAGCATATTCCCAGCCTTCTTGGTCGTCATACGACAGCATTCCCTGGCAAACATAAAACCAGTTTATCCACAATACTGTATAAATGCCAGGAAATAAAATCTGCTGTTGTCCTAATAAGGCATAGTAATCCCTCACATAGGATACATTCACTTACAAAAAGACAAAAGAAATAAAAAGAAAAAACAGTTATCTAAATTTAGGGTTTTTTGTCAGTAGATTTCATTCCTTAGGAAATTCGTAATATCATGTAGATTTAAAAAAAAAAAAAAAAAAAAAAAAAAAAAAAAAAAACCCACTCTTACACTACGGAAGAAGTAAAATCTGTGAGTACTTGTCTCTCCCCCTTACCCTTCCTGCTGTTACGGTTTGAGTGGGATCCCTCCTGCGCTTTCGCACCAGTCTCCGGCGTCGATGCGTATGATACATTTTCTCTGCAGCTACCCAAGACTTTGGTTTAGTGTCTGGAGGAATGGTGATTCCATATTCCCATCCTGAAACGGAAATGATTAGTTAATGTACTTTCAAGAACACATGTAAGATACAAATAAGAAAAGCATCGAAAATAGTTACCTTAACTACAAGGGATGAAGTTTTAATCACAGAACACTTTAATATTGTGAAACCTAAATGACCCATAATTTTCTGAAACTGACAGTATTTTATGATGATGTTACAATACTAACAGTAAACATTTCAAAATCATACATATACATTTTAAGTTACTTTCTTTGCATTATTGTTTTTTTTCTCCCCCCTCAAATTTTAGATGTATTGCTATCACATTGTCATGCTTTACCAAAGGGAGAACACCTTATTTTAAGTAGGAGTGGAATGTCCTGTCTATGTCTGTAACTGTCTTTTACAGGAGCTGCAAGTATGTGAATTCAGATCATAAAGCCAAAACTGGTAAAACTGTTACTGTGCTTTGGCCCTACATGTTACAAAGCCAGTTATCTAGGGCTCAGACTTGTATTCTGACACCTAACGTACATCATCTCAGATTATGTGACTTCCTCTCTAGTAGGCACTTCAGGTACATTTACTTCTTGTACTGTGCAAAATAGTGGCCTCTTGATCTAAAGAGATGCATTGAGAGCTCTGAGTTTGATGGAACAATGAGTAAAACAGGAATAGATGCAGTGAGCAATTTACTCAGAATCATTTTATGTGATTCATTCAGTGGAACCCAAATATTCCCTAGATGTTCCCCCACAGGGCACCCACAATGATGCTCAGGTCACAGCAACACTCTTAGAAGGGATTCTTCTACTGTACAGACCGTGAGAGACTGTCCTTATAATCAAGGCATTAACAGTCAAGCTTACCATGCTCATCCACTGCTCTATTTAAATCAGATTTCCAAGCATCATCTTCCCACATCCATCCAAGAGGACACGTAAACTCACGTGGAGGTGGAGCTTTTTCTCCATTCTTTTATGTGGGAAAATCAGAACAGATGTGCGCCTTAACAGATGAGACACATTCTGCTGCTCTTTCTCTTCAATTTGCCCTCCCTGCCCGGTGAAAAATAGTAATAACAGTCTCACCACATCTGTGTAACTCTCTTCAGCTGCTTTCCATTCCCCTCCAGGATAGCGGCTCTCATTTTCGTACACTTCATCCGTGAACTCGGTGTGACCAGCATCAGCCTCAGTCAACAAACTGCAACAAATACAGTGCTGAACTAATAAGCTTAATAAGCTACAGGAAACACAGAAGCAATGCACAGAGTGCACATATGTGCTGAAGTCTGTGGAGTGCGACAGTAGCAGCAGCAATAGAATCATTACTGATAAAAATAAGCAATTAGCAGGAGAGTTGTAACTGCTGGTCTGCTTTGAATCCTTTTTTTAAACACAGAAACACTTCAGATATTCGAAGAGAACACTGAAATATGTTTTAATTTTCCCTCTGCTAGTCAAATAAAGCCATTATTTTCCATTAAGAACAGGTATGAGACACAAATATTTACATTTTGAGATTAAATGTGTTTATCTTACTTCCATTAAAAAAAAAAAAAAAAAAATCCAACCTTCTTTCAGGATCAACCATCCATTCTCCTTCCCACTCCCAGCCCTTTGGGGGCAGGAAATATTCTCTTTTCAGTTTGATTTTTCCTGTGACATCAGAAAACTTGTGGCGGCCAACAAGCCCTGAGGTGCCCCACTTCCCAAAAAGAAGAGCCTGATTTTCATACTGTTTGAGAAAGAAGAATAAAACAGTATTTTAAATTAATTAAAAGCTTGTAGAGGGGAAAGTAATAGTTATGTAATTGTTACAGTTTGTTCTACTGAAGTTTCCTTTTTCTGAGCTTAAATGTCTCATCATATTCCCATCCCACATTAGTTCCCAGTGTCACTGCTCCTCAGCTGCTTTCCCTCCTCTTCTCCTCTGCTCATGGTAAAGAGAGATCCCATGTGCTTGTGATCCATCTCCTCAGTTCAGTGCTTCCCTACTTCTGCAGTCAAACTTCCTCCTGACTAAAGCCTTGGTAAATAAAAATTCATTAAACTGTTGCTACAAAACAGCTTCTTCCGTTCTTTCTTTTCTATCTCAGATTGCCTGTTTATAACGTTTTCTTCTGTAATGCATAAAACTGATCTATAGTCTTATCTATCTTGGAAGCCACTGGAACACAACTCTGATGTCAGTCCAGTTTATATCAGTGCATTTCCTCCAGGCTAGGGGGATTAAACCTGTTTTAAGATGGTCTTTTCTTCTCTGTTCTGTTCCTTATTCCTATAGAGTTGGATTGTTGTATATGTAGGACAAACATCAGATATTCCATGGTCTGTTAAGCTACATGCTTAAGAAATAAATGTTTTGAAGATCCATGTACTATTTTGAATGATTTGAAACAGTCAGTGGATATTCAAAGCACCACTGAGTGTTTAACCATAGCTGCAATGGTGACACAAACGCCTGTGAAAATGTGTTGTGCTGCTAGCTATTAAACACACTACATGTGCCATCTGGGCATTACGTACATGTGCTATATCTGCATTTGGTGATAGGGTATGTAAGAGATGGATGCAGTTATCATCATGAGAATGAATGGACTCTCGGGGTTAGAGCAGCTATCCAGTATAGCATGTTTCTGGACTATTTGAGGTTCCTTTAAGTCATTTTTCTTTGTTAACTGTTATTGTCCATTGTCATATAGACTTTAGACAGTGGAATTTACTCACTACACCGAGTATTTCTGTGACAGCTTTCTGTAAATTTTTCCTACTCCTACAAGGGAGCCATTATTAAACAAAACTAGTTGTATCCATGTATCATTTGTAGGACGTTAAAAAGCAATTAAAATAAAACGGTTCTTCACATGCCAAAACATAATGGCCCCAATCTGAATTACACCAATAAAAATCTGAAGTAAGTGCCTTAAAATCACTGGATTTATCCAGATTTTTACTTGACTAACCAGTTCAGGACCTGGCCTGCTGAAGTTCATCTGTTAGGCACAATGGACTTGACATAACTGCCTTGAATGGGGTCTGATTGTTTCAGCACACGGCATGCATACAGTGCTCTAAGCATTCTCTCCTTTCTACATGCAAAAAACAAAAACATTGGAAGAGCTCCAATTCCAGGGAATTCCTAAAATGCATGTCCAAACTTAAGGTAAGAAAGTCATAACAGACATACCATTTCTGCAAAAACGCTGAACGTTCCCTCTGCAAAGCTATTGAACTTCTTTTCAACTGCACTCAGCCCAAGCCAAATGTTAATTCGCAGCTCCACAGGTATTTTGCTGTCTTTTGTCTTGTCCTGGGGGTACTAGGACATACAAAAAGGAATATATAAACAAAAAAGTATTCTTTGTTGTTACACAGGTATTGTAATTTCTAGTAATACACAAATAATAATACAAAGATGTGAGAAGTAATACAAGGTTTATTTATATATCCTTGCATTTTCTCAAAAGCCAGTTACAGAACAGTCCAGGAGGAAAACATTCTTTAAAAGGCACCTGCCTGTGATATGTAAACACTACAGAACAGTGGAGGTTGGAAGGGACCTATAGCGATCATCGAGTCCAACCTCTAGACCAGATGCACTAGAACATCATCCCTCTTCCCGTTTATCCTCTTCTGAATTTTATTCACTGAGTTGGCAATTAGGACAAAAACTTAAAATTTCAATATTGATGTTATTGTTTCTTGTAAAGAGAGACTGAAAATGTGTATGTTAGAATGTTTTAGCAGCTAAGAAGTAATGTCTAATAACATATATGTCTGATAAAAGGGTCTTCATAAAAATACCAGCCGCATGGAGTCATTAACCTGTGTTGTCAGTACAGTAATACCTGACAAACCGTGTAAGTGCTATCTCTGTTCTACAGCGTGATTGCCTTCTACTGCTAAGTTTATACCACTTGATACAGATTTAAGGGGAGAAAGGGCATCCTCACTCAAGAGTAAAACTCAATGCAGAGGTATACTAGGGACCTTCTGTAAATAAATTTCCATGCAGGAAAACATCCAAAACTTTCAATAGTTTTCTGGAACTTTCAAATTATTCTAATTCTTCCCTCAGAAAGTTTCAATTCACATTCATCCCCCAAGCACCAATGCCAACAACGCTGTAAGAATGGTATCACATTTTGGAGCTCTTTCAAAGGGGCCTGCAAGTTAGGGATCAATGTTCATTCTAAATCTTAATTATAATGAGACTTACATTATAATTTCTGTGATACTTTGGAGTAACTAAATGCAGTAGACTTTTGACATCTCATTGTTTAGACTTTGCTTGCATGTTACATTTTCAGGTCAGAGGGCATCTCAGTTTAAAGTTACATAATATTATTTATGGTACCTTTAAGAAGATTGTTTGGGTTTTTCCACAGTATTTACCAGAAGATTCGGGGCTTGTGGTGGAGTAGAGCACTTGGTGTGCAGGAACACGAGCATAAGCCAGTCTCTTCTCCCCGCGGATCATCCATATGATCACATCAGGCATGCTGTTTTGTGGCTGTGAATTTTCAGGGAAGAAAAAAAAAAAATTTAAATCAGTAATTAATAGAATGCTAACCTTAGATTACAGAAACATTCATCAGGTATGTTAAAGGCATTATCACTTAGTATTATAATATATATAAATGCTTTGAATCTCATTTCACTTGCAGTGACACAGTGACTGCACATTACAGGTAAATAATCACAAGGCTTTTAGCAGTAGCTAGAAGCAGTCCCATAGCTTCTGGGGGATTTATGCACACCTCTGCATGCTAGCTGCCAGTTTTCCAAATGAACTGCCGTTTTTTTTGTTTCAAAACAAAAGATTTATAAAAAAAAGATATCTCTGAAGTCTTGTGCAAACCAATTATAAGAAAGAATAACCCAGGTAAAAAACTAAGAAATTGCTGAAAATTCACAGACAAAATTCATAAAAACATGCACTGTTACAACTATTCCAAGCTGATTCCTATGACTCACAGGGCACAGAAGTACTAACTACATCCTGCATTCCCATGGTAACTTGTAATTCTGGAAAAAAATAAAGGACAAAATACTGCACTTTGCATAGATTACAATATATTATTGTAATATATATATATATTGTAATATATATTACAATATATTCTATGAATCACGGGGCGATTATCTCCCAATCTAAATCCTCTTTAAAGTCAGCTGCTAAAAAGAACACCGTATTTATATAAACCCTAAACATATTTACAGACAAGAACATGTTTCCTTACACAGCAAGAGTGGATACTGCTGGATCAGCAGAGGACATTAGACACATCTTTCTAAATTAGCTGAATTACTGGTACCGGGCAGTACAGACCTCTTCACTCAGTTGCAGTAGTTTATCCAACCAGTCCTCAATGTCTGTCAGAGTGGCTTTCACGTCAGTAGCTTCATTTCTCATCTTTGTTGCTGCTTCGCCAATCTGCTTGAGAGACTTGAGACGCAGTTTTTCTATCTGAGTGTCAAGGACTGTAATATTAGATTTGCCTTCTATGAGGGGAAATGGTTTCCTGAAAAGAAAGCAGTTACGATGGTTAGAAAATTAAGTAGATATTATCTGGGCACATACTAAATGTTCACACACGTACAATGGCCACTGATTAAGTGCTATTACTTGTTGTGATCTAAATCTCTCGGAAGAGGGCTACAGCATCTACTCCTACACAGATTTCTAACAAGGCTATTACAATAAGGGCAAGACTGTACTTTTACAAGAAGCACCAGAATAAAGTTGCTTGTGGTGTACGTTATGAAGTTACTTCTACAAAATCCATTTTCCTATATTTGTATTAGAAAATTATTTCAGAACACATATTTCTAGAAGATGAAACTTCTGCTTTCAGAACAAGGTTAGGCTCCTTTCCTTGACTGGAAACCATAGCTTGACTGAAACTCACCAAAGAGTTTCTGTGGTTCACTCAACAGAACACAGGTTGTATCCATGACAAGAGCTAAATAAACCCCTTCATTGAAAACAGAAACAGTCTTAAAGAATCCTATGACTTATGAGAACTTGGCAAGTCATGAGAGGGCAGAGTAAATATAGAAAAAAAATATAGAAACGCACTGCAGTAGAGCACAGGGCAAAAAGCGGCTTTTTGAGTTAGGGTTTTTAGGAAAAGGCAGCCATGTGGGACCAATCATTACTTTAACAGAGTTCCTTAACAAGATACTGGAAAAAAAATTCAAACATTTTCCAGAGGCACTGCCAAGTTTGAAAACCCTCCTCTTCCCTCCTTCCCCCCATCACAATCCACATCCTGTGGAATGGGCAACAATTCTGACTTTGTTTCCAACAGCTCAGAACTTGCAAAAACTTAACATTGTCTGTTGCACTACTGTTCTACTGACCTGAATGTACCCAGGGCAGCAGAAGGTTGACAGGTTTTAAGCCTCCCAAATGCCTAGCCATTTAAAATTGTACATAGCAAGGAAAATCATTTGGCAAATTCAACATAAAGAATGACAAACGTTTCATGTTTTTTCTGAAAAGGGCATAGACAGCATTACATCCTATGGGAGATATTCATACAAGTGGTGTAAAAGGCCTACAACAAGAGGAAGCTAATCTGGTTGATACAGCTAAGTGCTACTGCTCTGTAACTGTTAAGTGATAAAATACTTAAGAAAACAATAGAACAAATGGGGGAAAAAAAAAGGAAAAAGGAAAATCCCAGCTCAGATGTGTGTCAAAGGACAGGGCGATACAACTGACACAAAGTTCCTACAGTATCTAGATGGTTCCATGTGACAATTTACACTTCACATTTTGCTGTCGTAACATAGGACGGGTTTTTTTTGTTTATTTTTCTTTCTACTGTAAGAAGAAAGGCAGCCACAGATATATTAAGTTGCCAGTTTATATTTTGACATAAATTATCTACCATTTGTTGTGTGTACACTTTCCTACTAGCTCTAAAATTTGATAAAATTGTTCTCCCTTTTTATGTTTTACTATTTCTTCTAATGGATAGTAACAATTCACTCTTGTTTTTCCCTTGTCCTTCCTTCTTCCTGTGTTGTTTCATCACCCATTTCTTTAATAATTTGCAAGCTTCTCCCACACCTCAATCTCTCCTGTCTATTAAAGCCTCATTTGCCCCCCTCTCCTGTTTCTTCTTCTCTATTCAGATTTTTTTCTGCTTCAGTATCCCACGTGCTGACTCCTACTGCCTTCTCTGAACACTTCCATGCAGACAGATATACTGACTAAAGGGTCACCAAAAAACAAAAAACAAAAAACCCAGAACTCTAATTTTCAAAACAATTCTATCTTGAGTTGGTTTTTTTTTCCCCAAGAGAGATGATGTTTCTTTGCTGCTGATGACTAAAATAAGGCAGAATTATACAGCTAGACATGACTTCATGGTAACTTCCCTGCTGTCCTATTGCTTTGAGAGACCTGGAGTTCTACTTCTCAGATACAATCAAAGGAAGTGAGTTATACAGTTCTTAGAATTTGTTTTCTGGCTTAGTTAAGGTAACAAGTAGGCCTACAATAAGGTAAGAGATTAAAAAAAAAAGGGGGGGGGCGTTATTACCTTATGTCTTCTGTAAGTTCATCAATCAGCTTCAACCACATCTCAGCTAATCGGTTTTCAGAAAGTTTGGCCTGCATTCCTGATTTTAAGGTGGCTATGTTGTATTGCTGAAAAATTAAAAATAAAAAGATTTGTACTTCTAAACTTTCACTGTGGCACTGCGGTAAGTACAAGTTTTAAGATTTTATTTAATTTTTAAAATATGTGTACATATGCCTACATATATATATACACACACACATACAAAAAACAAACAAAAAAACAAAGGCACACCCCAACGCTCCGATGTTCATACTTGACTCCTATTTAATAGGATTCCGCCTGCCTGTGTTCAGTAACCCAGGATGCTGCACCAAAATTCCAAGTCAGACACATGGCTACAGACTTGACAAGCCCCTGGCCAACACTGAGGCCTCCTCCTGGGGGAGCTCCCCGCAAGTTCTGCGCTTTGCCAGAACACACACCTCTGATTAGCAGTGCCATTTCTCACGCTGCTCTGTGTTTATACTGAGCAGAACCAAAGCAAACATCAGAATCTAGTTCCAGTATTTGTTCAACTGTCAGTTTCAATTACACCTCTAAATAAATAAATAAATGATTATATAAGTAAGACAAACAAAAGAAGGTCTAGGCAGGTTACCAGTCTCTCAGCCATGTTCAAGATGATGTTCACAGGGTCTAGTCTATGGCTTATGTCCTCCCAAAAGGAAGTCAGTGTTACAACTGGTTTTGTGTTCGCCCATGGCAAGTAGTAATAACAGTTACCTGGTGGGAAACATTCCTGAGATTAGAGCTAGAATTCACAGCAGGAATACACATTGTATACTGAGCAAGTAGGTATATTTACTGCATTTTCATACAATAGTTCATGAAAAAGACATAGATAGCCCCAAATTATCAAAGGATTTGTATTCTTCAGGCCCTGCAGAGGGCAAACTTTTACCTCAAAAATCCTACAGTATATTCTTTAAAGTTATGTATTAACATTTTAATCATTCTCTTAAATTATACGTTGATATCTTCAGCACATTTATATAAGCATTTCTGCAAAATAAAATATTCCAGAATAAAAGCAGATTACTTATTTAATAGGCAGAAAAAAAAAACCCTTTTTCTGCACTTAGTTTGCAATTAATAAAGTAAAATTTTAGGAAAGATAGATTTTCCCATGATCTAGTCAGTTTATTTTCCTCTAGGTTGCCAAACTCTTTGTAAATGTTTTTTTTAAAATCAGAATGTTCAAAGAGTATTTTTTAATTTTAAGCCCTTGCTTTAACATACCTGTAAAATACTGTGTTTTTTATGCTTGTCACTCTTCCTGTGAATAATCAACAGGCCTCAGTAAATTCTATGCAATTTGCTTTAATAATCTCAGAAAGTCTCGACAGCGTGAATTACACAAATATATAACTGCATCAACAGTTTTCAAGAGCTGCACATTATTTTCTGTTTTATTTTCAGTCATTTCTGGGGAGCTAGTTGGCATGCTAAAGCTACAGGGTAAATATTCTGCACTTCCAAAGGAGTGCTTTACATGAACTCAGCCCATAATGGCAGTATCCTTACCGTCAAACACCGCACGACTGTACTGGGTGGTTGATGCCAAGGGCTTGCAGGTGGTGTCGAACTTGTTGCCATAGTTACCGATGCTCACTTCAAACTGGATGGGCTCCCCTGTGTCTTGCAACATGGTAGCGGAGTGAAACACCGCGGCCAGGCTGAACTTGCGCCTGCGCTGGTATTTCTACAACAAAAACCTTTTTTGTTTATTTAAATACTTATAATATAGTACAATTATAGATAAGAGTTGTAATTTCTCAATGGAAATAATTCTGATTGCTGAGTGATGCAGGCAAAAATGATAATATGTCTATAATAAATTATTGTATCTGATAATATGAAAGTATCTAAAATTAATATGTCATGCTGTCAGAGTATGACATTTTTGCAGGCACACCATCAAAAACTAGACTTTTTAATTGTCAGATTCAATTACTCTGATTTAGTTGGTCATTTCATTCTCCAAAATCTACCACATCAAGCCCATCTCCATTGCTGACAGCGACAGTAACACAGGGCTTTACCTCTACAACTAGCACGTCATCACTAGGAATCATCTCTAACTTCTTATTAGCAGGCTTGCTGTCAAGTACTGTAGAGAGTTCAACCAGAATTCTCCCTCTATATGCAACTCCTTCTCCCTGAAACACAGTGACACATTCAGTCAAATTTAATAACCTTTCTTCTGAATGACATCCTCCTTTTTTCAGCAGCACATGTTTCTGACTCCACTGAAGTCTTCTCAAAACTTCTATGGAAGCATGTATCAACAGATTTCAACATATGGTGAAACATATTTATGGAGCATATTTCAAAAACAGAAAAAGGAAAATTGCTGTACAAACCAGAAGTAAAAAAATATATATATTTTTAAGAAAAAAGGGAAATAGGAAGGACAAATATATGCAAAGATGCAAATGAAAATGCTATGACATTTTCTTATTAATCATAAATTATAATTCAAAAAGCTATACCCTAACTAGATTAGTATAAAACAAATAAATAGAAAAAAATGAATTATTGATTAAAAATAATTTGGTTCAATCTTTTTATCAAAGTAATGAAAAGAGAATACTGACCTTTCCGAAGTTTAATTCATCATACGGATCTGGGAATCCAGTGTATTCTCTTGGACTTCCATAAAAGTTTAGGTAACACGGTCCAAATGTTGGTAAAAAGCCTACTTCTGTGTCCCCTGTGCTTGCTAACAGGAAAACATCCCCATGAGAAACTTTGTTAATTAGCATTCAGAGTCAGAAAAGCAATGAATATCACTAGCAGATAATATCTAATGTTTATTCTACTGGTTTTAAATAAAAGGTAAGAACACCTTAGTCTGTGGGTATACCATGTGAATGAATAAGTAATTATACCACTGACTATATTTGTTCCAAGTTTTTGTTGTAAAACACTTACTATATATATACACTACTTCAGACAGAAAACAAGAAAAAAAAACAAAACAACAACAAAAAAACCCAGAACTTTTATTTTTACTTAACAAGTAAAATTTTACAATTTGCCAATGGCTTAACAAGTCTAACTAAAAAAAGAATATGAAAAAAATAGCAATTTTGTCTGTTTTAATATCTGAGCTAGGAAGTTACATCAAGCCTGCTGCTGCTTAAGGTATGTTGCAAATTCATCTAAAGGAGATGCCAATGAACATGACTAAAAAGAAACAGCTTTTTTTTAGAGTTAATTAAAACCTAGAATTGACGGTAAGATATTTGTCCTTTTATTAACAATCATACATGCTCTAACAGGATGCCAAGACTATTGTTTGATAAATATTGTGAGTGGTACAGAGAGATATAGAACAAGGTAAGCAACAAAAAAGACACACACAAAAAAGAAACCCCTGCATAATTGTGAGCCAACAGAAAAGATTCCGAATCCTTTTTCTTGCTGTGCCCCAGCTTTCACCTTTGATTAAATCATCCTGGTGCAAAACACATCAGTATCAGGTTCTGCACCTCACATTTATTTAGGACAATTTGCATAACAGAGAAGGACGTATCTACCACAGAAAAGAATGGTTGAGACTGGAAAGGAAAAATACATGTGTAAGGCTTGTATGACTTTGCCAAAGTAACTACTTTGGCACAGTGATACGTATAGGTTAAAAAAAAAAGTATCCCGTATCTTGATGTAATTTCCTGTCAAAACAAGTAAAACTGTTTCAGCTTTATGGAATATGCAGTTTTCTATCTTGTGTTTTCATCTTTTCTTATTTTTTTAAATTGGAATTGGAACCTGATCAGTATTTGAATCAAAACACATTCAGACTTCAGACTGAATGGGATAACATCCACTTTTTTTTTTTTTTTTTTTAATACTAATACTGAACAATTATTACATCTGAATTACTGAAGAATTATTACATCTAAATACAGGTTAGACTGAACATACCGATCTGTATGTTTAATATGTTTGCTGACAGAAATTAAATGCCCTCCCAAAGTTCACATTTAAAGAAGCCTGCTCATATTTAAATTGCTAATATTTAAAATTCCATTGTTTATTTTTAAAAAAACACATTGCTGTGTATTCAGTAATTCAGCATATTGCTGGAAGCGATTCTGAGAAAGTATCTCAGCCTTTAACTTGGTATTACTTTACTGTGAAAGAAAGATAGCAAACATAATATTTGGGTGGATGAATCAGTTTAAACTTCAAACATAATTATTTCTCACTACATAGATGTTTACCATAGGAACTATCAAAAGCAGATTTCAACCCTCATGATTTATAAAAAGCCATTTCTCCAGTTCTTAACAGCATCGGTTTTCATTATTCAGAATTTATTTATACAACTAGTTAAGCGTAAGCAAGACAGCCACTACTTGTTTTAGTTGGTTATTTACTTCTACAGAGCTCTGCAGCAGCACACACACGATCAGGACCTCACAGCTAAGCTAAAAACTGCAAGCCACTGTTAGAGCATTTATATCTGAAGCAACTGCATGCTCAACGCTAAAACACAGCCTTAAGCACCAAACAGAAATATTTTCAAACCAGTGCCAAAACTGTTAAATAAGTGGGTCGCGTTTAATACTCTTTAATCATAAAGGTGCGGTTTTTGGGGCTCCTTTTTTTAAAATATTTTTTAAGATACTGGGTTTTGTTGGACAATTTTTCTGTTTGGGCAATGGAAAGCAAAATCAGTAACAAATCAAGATGTAAACCTTCATATGATGAAGCCCCAGTTCCCGAAGATGAAAATTCTACATTATGAAAAGAGAAGAGGTTACATGATGAGAAATAACAGCATCTTAAAAACAAATACATCAAAGAGCAATTTGTTTTAGAAATAAAAATGCAAGCCTGAAAAATATATGAAGTTCACATGGTGATTTTGCTTTGCAATTAAAATAGGCCAGTAATTACTCTTGAGCTTGATCGAGAAAGGACACTGTTTTGATGTTGCTGTTTCAACTTCTTTTTACAGTCCTCCATTCAAAATAAAATTTCAATTTTCAAATTAACTCTTTTAAAATCTTTAGAACATTTAAAAAAAAAAAAAAACACTACACTTTACTTCTTTCCTTCCCAGTTCTTTAGAAGCTACAATAAGCTTCAGAGCCTGGCATTGACCTCAAGTTAAAGAGGTCTGTGATCGTAAGTACTGTCCACTGACAGTATTTCAGTGGTGATTAAACTCAGGGTAAGGATCATCTCAGCTACCGTGAGCCGGGGTTTGAGGTGCAAATGTGCTGTGATTCAGGGGCAAGTAGGTCACATGCTTATGGGTAGTTAGGTCACACACAAGGATTTCCCCACCACAGAACTCCCTAAGAGATTAGCCCTTCTGTCTTTTATTCCCCATTATCTTTTTCTGTAACCCTTGTTTTTGCCTCTGCTTGCACAAGAGGGTTATATGAAAGAATGTTTGCCAAAAGTCTTAGTTTCAAGGAGCAGTCCTTGTGAGAGGCCTGGGTTATAAGCTGTAAGTTTACATTGCTTGACTGAAACTGCCTGAGGAGAACATAAATACTTGCTCAGGCCATTGCAGGACTGAAGCCAATGTAACTTTGTTCTTAAACTCCCGATATAACTACCAGCTTACAAACAAATTAATCCATTCTCAGACAACAATATGTAATAATAAAAATTTCATAAACCCCAAAATAAAGAGAAAAATATTTAAAATTCCTATTATAGAAACAGTTTTCCTCAAGCTAATGTAAGTAGTGAAATGCTAAGCACGCTTGAGTATGTTCTGCTATGGTTCTTTATGGGCGCTTGACAGGCCATACAATGGTCATAAAAAAATAAAGCGTAATTTTTTTGGCAAAGTAACACTGGATCCATGGCATTGAGCTGATTCGGTTATGAGACCTAGCTATAAAAATGAGATTGATTTTTCACGTAGATCACAAATTGTAAAGAAAAACGTTCACAATATTATAACATAATTATAGGCAGTACGAAATTGATCTTAATTGTTGTAACATTAGAAGAAAAATGCATTTTATGACATTGTAAAGAAAAGTTTTATTACAAAGACACTTACTGATAGGGACAATAGCTAGACTAACTAAATTTGTTTTCTTGCAGTTAAAATCAGATCAGCTCTTTAGTTACTCCTTAAAAATATAATTTGTTAAAATGATCAAAATAAGTGTTACCTGGAGCTCTTGTACAATGACATGTAATGATCATTTCTTGTAAGCTACTGATCTAAGCAGTGATTGATTCAAGTTTCCCCTGCATCTGAAAGCTGTTGAGTTGGATAGAGGAAATGCCATTTTTTCACAAGCACGTGCAGAGAGCACATGTGGGAATGGCTCTCTACGGTTCCTGCAGGCTGCCTTGCTTTTAAGTTCACTGCCTTGCTTTTAGGTTCACTCCTCAGAGGAAGAACAGGTGCACCCATAAGGTGGCAAAATAAGTCTTAGCTATTAGTGCTCCAAGATGTTTTGATTATGCAAGTGGCCTCCAAATAACTCTAAATTAATGTCTAAGAATCTTAATAAATTTACACATCTTTCTCATAATACTCTGAAAGTTCTCTGCATTTTGGAAAGAAGTGACTTAGAAATTTAACTGATTAACTTTTAAAACACATAACAATATTTTCAATTAGCTACCGGTAATCAAAGTGATGCAAGTAATTAAAGGGATATCTGTGATAATGTAATTTAAATGTCAGGATTGCAATACTGTGAGACTTCTGAAAATATAGTATGTGTTCTGTGGGCATCACTTTGGAAACGCTGGAAATGATCTCTTTGCCAAAGAACTAAGGAACTACAGCAAGACATATATATCTTAGGAACACCGATCCTTTCTATTTCTAACAACACACTAAGCACTAAGTTACATACTGCTGAGTAAGTTACCTTCAACTTCTCCTCCAGAAGAAGCAATTCTAGAGAGACTTAAATATGTTGTTCCTACTACATCATTTTTTGTAAGACGATCCCTGCAAAAGAAGAAAGATTATTTTAAAATAGAAAGCTGACCCTCTTACACAGAAGCAAGATGCAAATGATTGCCAACACTCTAAGAGAGTCTGTATTTTCATATTTTATATTACTTGGATTGTTTTCAATCAATACACAGATGATGATGTCTGGTTACAAAAGTCACTTGTACCTTAAGGAAGTCACCTCGAAGTACCTGAAGTACTGAAAAATGCATGTAAAAAGTAGGTAGAATTTCACTCTCCAACCTAAAAGCTCTTCTGAAGAGCATCAGATGCATCATTCTCGAGATGCAATCAGGAACATGCAATGCAGAACTGTGTGATCCATTCTGCCTTCTCCCCAATACAATGCCTGAGAGGTACAATCAAACCTACAGAACCTTTGGACTATGAGTATTTGGATCATATAAAACAGATTTTTGGACTTAGATACTGAAAAGTTCCCAACATTACATTAATTTGGAAGTCACTCTTCATGAGATGTAGGAGATGTCATTCAAGTTTTATTTGAAAATACAGAAAGGGCATTCAAATATATTCTTAAATACTAATACATTAGTGGGTACAAGACTAAGAAAGCAAACTGACAAATACAAATGTTAGGAACATCATTCTACATTAAATAGCTTTATTCCTCAATGCTAGCTGCACATTAACAACACTCCCATGTTACACTAATCAGGCCTCTTGTAAAGAAACCATATCTACGGAAGGGCGATTAACTTAAACACTTGCTTAAATACTCTCATGGATCGAGACTAAGAATGCCAGTAATGATTGCAGAACTAGACTTTACTCCACTTAATGTAACATTATCTTGTATAAGCGCTTTCATCAAAAGCCAACTCACCAATCAACAACTGCTATCTTTATTTTCTCACACATCGAGGGAAACTGGAAAAAAACAATGAAAATAAAATGACTGATTACTTATTTTGCTTCTGTAATGTTAATGCCTGCATTCCAAAAGGATAGCATTTTTTCTTTTTAATAAAAATGAGAAAAAAAAATCTGACCTTGATTTGAAGACAAATAATTTGATTCCACTCTGGATTAGCATTTTTCTCAATTATATTTGTGCAAACCTTAAAAGAAAAAAGAAAATAAAAAAGAAAGAGAAACCCATTACATAGCATGTCAAACAGACAAGAAAAAGCAAGTTTAGTATAAGTTAGGATAATACTGCTAAACTGATCTGCACAGGCTACAACAATGACTACTAGAAAAGGATTATAAACCAGTGTCTAAACCTAAGATTGAAATTACCTTACGCGAAAAAAGAAACTTTCTGTTTCCACTAGCTACAAATAAGGAGCTTTCATACTAGCAGCAAGAGATCTCTTGCATCACAACAGAGAAAGAAGAAAATGGAATAACTTCATTCCAGGTTACTGCAGGCAGATTTTAGAGAGGATGTTAGAGTGGATGAAGGATGTCCTCTATGGGAGAGTCTCTGTTCTTTATTGATAATGTACACTGGGGAACCCTTAGGCCAAAAAGCAGCAGTCACCTGTATATACAGCATAATAAGAGACTGATTATTTTCTTATTAAAGAAAACAGAATGGCCAGCTATGCATGTAAGATATGCAGCTGGAGTTATGCTCATATTTGGCATTACTCTGAAGAATGTATTAGTCATAAATGTACAAACACTGTCCATCCGTGCAGAAAGGTCTGTACCATTAGTTACATAAAGAAATCAGGAACAACTGGTAGGTAAGCAACCTGGCACACAATTTCCAGTCTTTCATCACAGGTTTCTTTTACCAGTCTGTAGTCCAAGCTTTACAGCTGTTCTGCTGCACATTATACTTTGTTCTCGTCTTATTCAAGGAGCTGTAACGCTAATACTTTTATATTTCTGTAATTTCTGCAAGCTTGAAAATGAATTCTTTTTTCAGATACTTGGTCAGAAAGCAAAAGTTTCAGACATTTACTAAATTACCTTTTTCCCAGCAAAAGAAACTTCCACAAATGGATCCACCAGGTTTTTCTTGTCTGCTTCTCCTCCAAATATTTCCTTGACAGTCTGTGCAAAAGCATCATCCACTGAAGTGAAGTTACAAAACAGATATTAATGGTTATGCCATTTTCCCTCCCAACCTAAACACGCCCTAGCAATCCCACTGAAATCAACCACTTTAATCTGAACAAAGTTCTAAACAGTGAACATCTGCTGGTGACAATGGAAAATTTAGACTTCAGCGCAAATTAAAGAATACAAATGCTTGTAACATCATAAGGAATATTGACACAATCCTGAACTTAGAGGAAAGTTTTTAACTGCAAGACAGTATCTGAAAGACTGCAAACAAGTACCAGCAGAGATGGCCATTTGTAACCACAGATACATGTAAGAAACCATGGTGAAAAGGAATAGAAAGACACATATATTCTGCGAGCAGAAAATACACACAGTGTGTAACAAAACAATTGCTTTTTGTCTTAGTAATATGAGGCTAGCATAAGAGAAAACTCATCAAATTAAAGTCAAAGAGCTTACAACCTCCCCTGCCCACTAGGGCTGTTTGCTTTAAACCTGTAGTGTACAACTTAGAAGTCCCCAAGCTGGGTACAGCCGCCTAGGATACAGTCAGCTCCTGCCCACCACACTTCACGAACAGGCTGCAGGCTATACAATCTGCTTGGCCAACGCAGTAGCCTCCCGTCCAGTTTTTAGCAGTTCTGCGGCCTTTCCCACATCATAAGTGGTTGTGCCTACAAAGAACTACTGGATTGCTGAAAGGGAATGGCCAGGTGCAGGCTGCCCTCAGCATTACTATTTATCTGCTAGTGTCTAAACGGCATTGCAGAAGAGGGCTGCTTGGAACCAGCTGGGTGACAGGGATGCATGTGTGCACTAAATACCTGAGCTACACGGTGAGAGCCTGAAGTACATTTGCAGACCAACTCTACTTGAATGTGAATTATAGGCATGCAAGTTCTGTGACTAGAAAAGGGCTAATGAAGAGCTCTTCATGGCTACTAGAAGCTACATGGCCCACACAGCAAGAAAAGATGAACATCACTAATCTGACTGATGGGTAACATTAAATTATGCATTACAACAGTTAAGCAGTCTCACTACCAAAGGACTTGAAATGGACTGCTTAAACTGTCACAGAATTACAGCATTACAATGCTAAGCACACATTGATGCAAGATATTTTATACTCAAAGAATGTTTCTGAATAGCTAGCACAGATATTTCTAGTGGCAATCAAATTCAGTAATCAAAGTATTAAGAGCCATGTACTTTGAGGGATATCCTCAGCTCTGTAGATTTTAAGGAGGAAAGTGACCCATCGAAGTGTAATTCCAGCTGGCAGTAACAGATTGCTTTCCACATCATCACTTTCGTTATCTCTTTCTCTTTTTTCAACCTGTTGGACGATACACGGGTATGTAAAAGAAAGGCAGAGTAACATATAAAATTAAGGTAATTAGTTAAACTAGTGCCTGCAATACCTTTCATCTAGAAGATTGTCACTTTCGTTGTGAAGGAGATTTTATCATATTATAAAACCATAAAAATAATTCTAACTAAATTATTTTATTTATATTTCATCTCTTAAGCAGTTAATTACAGAAGCCTATTTTAATCACACTTAAAAATCATGATCTATAATGATTTTGTCACTCACAATAGTAATTTGATGCAATTTCCCTATCCAACTCAAGATAAGTATTGCAGTAAGGCGTATTAGTGCAAACAGAAAACACCTACTGATCTGATACATTTACCAGAACTTACTGTTTCCTCCTTTAAAAATAAATAGGAAAAAGAAGAAAAAAATCACCACTAACAACCATAAATATCTCTTTACTTTCAAGAATCATGAGCTTTCTTTTTCAGTTTATCTACATCAGACAGTAGTTAAGAGATTTCCAAGCTAATCCTGGAACAAGTATCAGTATACATTACCCAGCTTGATTAACTATGCTAAAGAGAATTATGTATTAGCTTGCATGCAGCACCAGGCTAACACGTCTCTATTTTTTTCAAGAACCGAAGAAGCATCTATATGTGGTAGATCAGCACACATAGAGCTGGTCCAGAGGTTGTCTATTGTGCAAGACAAGCCACAACCCATAGCTTTTGGGTTAGACACTCAGTGCCTTGAAATCACTTCTAAAGCTTGCGTTACTTTCACATGCTGCTCAAAGAATGATTTTTACAGTATTATTAAATGTCAGGGAGGTACATTAATAATTACCCAGGAAAAACTGAATAAAAAATAAAAATCCAACTTACTGGTGGTTCATCTCCAGTTCCCAGAACAAACATGCTGACTTTCATATAGCCTTTCGATCCTGAATTTGTATCTTCAGGATCACTCAGCAGAAGCCATTTTCTCATGACTGCATGGCCTAAAATGAAATAAACAAAAACATCAATTGTAATATCCATTATAAAAAGGAAGAAGCCACAAAATCATAGCCAATGTTCCAAAGAAAACCTTAAAACAAATTATTTTATTAATTTTTCCTGACTGAGGTCTTGACAGGTCATTCAAAGCAAGAAATTTAGCAGTATTAAAACATTAATTTTACCGATTCAGTGACAGAGCTATCAAACATTTTTGCATTATTTCCCATATTAAGTTTTTTCTTTGTAAAGTCTTTCATACCCAACCCAATATCCAAATTTTAAGTGCTTGTACTTCATCTGGGAAGGACTGGAAGAAGTTACATACTCACAGACCTTTATAATGAATATTTGAAGCAGCAACCTCAACTAGCTTTCAATTTAACTTTCTTTTTCAACTTTAGAAATTGTACTAAAAATGTTTCACTCCAAGTTTTAAGCCAGGAAATGAGTTCTGAAGTATCTGTTACTTACCAGGCTCGTCATAAATGTAGCCAATGTCAATCTGAAATAAAAATGAAAATGAAAAAATACCCCTGAAAGGATAGCAAAACAGAAAAATACTTCATGAACACAGACTTACTATATTACTGAAGACTTGCTATATAAGCTTACTGCTTTTTGGATTCCATGTGTCCCTCATTGTTTTATGTTCACACAGGCTTTTCATATATCTTTTGTTCCTATTTCCTGCATAACATCTCATTCTTGAGTTGCAGAAATTAAACCTTTTAAAAAATATCTGGTTTTTCTTTTATAAAGATGCTCCAGGATTTTTTCTCCAGTTGTGTCAAACCCAGACAAGATTGCAAATACACTCCTACTAGATTAACTCCACCAGACTTCACACGTTAAGGAAGATAAATATGTTTGCTCACAGCAGTTGGGCAAGTGTTCCCTGCAGATAAAGGCTGAAAGGGTCATTCTCAAGACAGAATTACTTTGGGGGTTTTCACCTGGAAAACCACTGCAGGTTTGGCTGCAGGAATGGAAAACCACTGACATGCTACCCCTGCCTGTCCTGCCTAGCGGATGATCAATCCTCCCCAGAGAAATGCAATGCAACATTCCCCAGTTCACTAGAAGTTGATAGATAATAAGAAAAAAGAGATTTGTTTCTGCAAAGAGCAGAAACAACTAGATTTGTGGTAGGAAGTTTCATATACAGAAGAGCTCCTGCCCACATATTCATTATTTTGTGAAAAACAGGTCCAGAGGCCACTCAGAATTTACACAGTAAACAGTAAGCAAACACAAAATACAGCCAACACTGATATTGAGAATGATAGGGCATTCCAGAAACCATTCCATTTGTCATGTGAATGTTCTGCCTGTATTTCTTTAGGTATAAATACGTTAAATAGGCAGGTGCTTACCTCTCAATATTGACAAATATAAATATATCATGACAATATTATTGTTATAATCTGAACTATAAAAATTACTTTAGCTCATAGACTTCTCCATAATCTTTTTTATCTAATGAACTTCTGACCAAAGGAACACTTTCCCATACCGTTTGTGACTATATCTTCATTCTACCATACATGTCACTGTTATGTCTAATAGCAGCCTAAAAAAAAAGGCTTTTTAAGTGCTGCCTCATATCATAAAATACCCTGCTACCTTTCACATAAGAAATTTTACTGTTTGGCTTTTCTTGGATCAAAGTTATATATAAAACAGATTTCCCTTAACAATAACTTCCCACTGAAATAAGGAATTGCTAGTATTTCAAATAAACTATGATTATACTAAAGCAGTACTTTAAATATTGAAAACAATTTAAAAAATTTCTTTCATTTTCTTTATGTTAGACAAGATATGAAAGTTGGTTCACACCTACCTTAAATTCTCCCATTAGACAGTCTGCTCGTAGAGAATAAGAGTCATACACCTAGAACGAAAGAACACAAATGTTCCTAAACTTCATAGTAAAATGGTCAGACAATGTAACAGGCATTCAGCAATTTTTTTAATATGCATTGATTTTTTCTTACCCGAATGCTAACTGTTTCATCAAACAACTCTAAAGGAGTCATGTGGACATTGTAGAAAAATATCTGTTAAGGTAAAAACAAAGAATGTCTCAAAAGGACAAACTCAAATTCAGAATAACAAACTCAAACTCAATCTTCCACTAGAAAAAAAAAATCGGAAAACATTATCTTAAAAGGGTTGTGAGGCATACCTGCTATAATACTTTTAGTCTCTCTCCTTGCTGAAAGCTGTATATGACAATCTTATTTGATGTTTAACACATCTTACTTGATGTTTAACTTCCCCCTAGTTTTATCAGCAGACGCTGCCAGCCATTTGGGCAGTAGGGAAGTTGATTTTAGTGATGTGAATATATATTAAAAGGGATTCAATTGGGAAATGTGTATAAACTAGAATTAGCCTTTAACTGTTGGCAAAATTTTATTCATTAACCATAATGACAGCTGTATTAGTCTATTTTACATTTGAGAGTATTAAAATAGTAACTACTTTTACACTTACTTCATCAAAATATGGGTTGTTCCCCCTTTTAATTCTTGTTCTGTGTGTCTGACCACAAATATGAACTTTCACTACTGGTTTTATGTTATTTCCAGGTAATTGTCGGCCTTCAATGACCCTAACACGAATCTGGAAAAGACAAACAACAACAACAACAATAACAACAAAAAACCCACAAACACTTGTGTTAACAACCTACGTGTTGTATCATCATTTTTACTTGAATTTTACAATCAGCAAATTTTAGCTTGTTTTTAATCACTTATTTCTACAGATACTGTAGTTTGAAATCCATACAGTTAAATGCTAAATAACAATCTGAATTTTAGTCAGAGCTGTACAAAACTACTGGTCCTCAAATTCTAGTCCAATTTTAGTCCAAATTTCTGAACATCTCTGTAACAATGAGCAAGTATTCTTTTTTTATTTTTTTTTTAAAGTTTTGAAATACAGACTTCCAAACAATGGAGATGCTATCTGTCTCCAAGCACATTACCCTTGCAATACCAGACATGGGAAGGTAGCAATATCATGCCAAGCAGAAAAAGGCACATGTAATAGTTAACAATGGTTACCTGAAAATCTTGTGGTTTATTGGAAAGGATTCTTCGTGTTTTCTTCCCTTTGGTGATACGCCTCGCAAGCTGGGCCTCCTTTGTGCCACTTGGAACCACTGGTGCACCAACTGGACCATCTGCATCATCCTCATAACCTCCATCCTCTTCTCCATCTGCTACAGTAAGAAGCAAAGCAGTTAATAAATAAATACATAGCACAACTTGATGTAAAAGTTACAGGAAAAGAGCCTGATATCCAAGTGTTGCACTAAAACTGTATTATTACTTCATTTTAACAAATTATTTCTATTAACGGCACAAACCCAACTCCTTTTGAAAGCAGGTCACTTTGGCATATACTCCAAATTTACATTCCAACCAAAACAACTGTTATACCTGTCCCTCTTCAGGTGCAGAGTATCTAAAATAATCTGTGTACATTCCCTTCAACTAACCAGCTGAAGTTGCAGCAAAGCACAACTCAGCTGTAATCATCACTGACTTGCTCACAATACACCAGCAGTGATTAATTTTATTCCAGTTGAAGCCAGTTTCTGAGCAGCAGTATCGAGCCCCATCACCTCAGTGGTTTTTACTTTAGGATCTTTTAGGATCTATTACCACTACATCTATAACAAAAACCTGAATTACATTTAACTGCAAAATTAGAGGAAGTGTCCTTGTAAGCCTCTTGAAAATCACAATACTGCTGTAAAAGACTGTTCTAATGCCACATGACATTACAATACTGGATCACACAATAAAATCTCAGTATTGCAAAACAGATTTATAAATATCTAGACCACATAAGTGTGCCACTCCCTCACATCTTTTTTTGTTTGTTTTTTTTGTTAAAGAACAGTAAGCATGGTAAAATCTCCAAAAATAACAAACCGTCTCTAGGGCTTAACATTAATAAAAATCAAAGAATGTCCATTAACTTTATAAATTAGCACCATAATGAAGTCCTCAGTGATTCTCGCAGATGATGTATGAAAGTAGAGACTGGTATACTATACATTAAATACTTCTGTATGTTATAATCATAAGTCCCCACCTCTCTAAAATCTTTCAGAATCCACCTGTCCTGATGGTTCACGCAATTGACTAGTTACACACCCTTAGTCCTTGATATTTTATGTTTGGAGTGGAACTGGGTAAGTCTCAATTGGGGAGATAATTTCACTTCACTGGAAATAGGTATCTAAAATAATTAAATAAGGCATGTTTGCTCATTCACACTGAAAAAAAAAATTGTTTGAAAATGCAGTTTTCAAACACAGCAGCTAAAAGTTTGCCATGTCTTACTTTATCTATATAAGTAAATTTTAAAATAGTTCCTGAAGTAATCTTATATAAAATATTTTGCATTTTTAGTGTTCAGCTTCAGATTTCTATACAATTACTCTAAGTTTAGTAATTTAACACACAGCTTTTGTGTTTGCATTACCTCTTCTTGCACTCCCTAAATGACACCTTTCATTGAACTTAAGTGAAATTAAAATTTCACTCCAGGAGATAAAACTTTTTTTGCTTGCTTTGTTGTTCTATCACCGAATAACAGGCAAAGTGATTTACTCATTACAATGCCACGTACAGCTGTAACATCCCTTGGGGTAGCAGGACTAACAGGTTTCTGCAGCCTTGAGAAGAGTTATGCAGGATGCCTTCTGCACGAAACTCACCACTGTGTTAAACTATTATCATTGCTTTTGATTTAACACACAGTGACACCAAGAGGCTAAATTTTGGAGAAGCTTCAAAACACAGTATTAAGTGCCATAATTCACAAGAACTGAACATCAGATACTATCAGCGAGCTTCAGAAACAGGTAGACTTCAGAATTTCACTCTCAAGAGTTAGCAGCATTGGGCAGGCTGCAAAGGTAATATTAAAGGGTTTATTTTTTATAGAAAATACACATCTTTACACCAGCAAAGATGAGCTATCTACTGGCAACCCAGAGGGATGCGGCATTTCACTAATCTGTCTTCTTCCTTAAGCCAAAATGTAAGCTTTTGCCCAGATTTTTTGAAGACACTCTTATTTGCAGACACCTTCTAGAAAGCAATCAGTCAAGCGGTATAACGAGAAAAGATGAGGTTGAATATATAACTCAAAACTGCGTATCTACAAGTAAACAAAAGAATATGCAGTGTACTATTTAACTGAAATTGAACAAAAGCTTGGAGATCAACAGCAATACACTTCAACTTCATTGTTAATATCAAAACTATCAGCAGGTATAATGTCATATTTCCTTGGAAGCTACCAAAATATTCTGTGCAATGTTAAGGCCTTGAACTGATCTAGAATTAAACTGCAAATTTTGGAATGTGAGGGTTATGAGCTATTTTTCCTAAACAACCAGTTTAATAATTGTGGGACAGCAACTGTGACAGATAAAACTGAATGATCACAATAAGAGTGAATCTTTCAGTCTTCCAAAAAATCTCATGAGCCTTCTTTTCATGCTTCCAAAATCTCACCCAATCCCTCCAAAACCACTGACCACGCATTGCCCAGCGTTATTTTTTTGTTTACTCCTATGGCAATACAGCAGCTAATTGCTATTTATTTCGGCACTCCAAAAACTTTCTTAAACAGAAACCCTTTGAAAAGCTTTAAGTCGCATTATTCTTCTATAATCTGATTCCACTGAAGACAATTATGTTAAAAAAACACTATGACTGGAAGAGCAAATTTTCCAAACTGTAGTTTTGAATTATCTGTAATTTTTAAAAAATTACCATTAGCAAATCTTGATATGCTTACTTCTGTGCATTAGGTTTTTTTTTTCCTCCTCTATGAACATTTCTGCTTAATAATTTTATTGCCTTATCTTGAATACCTCCATGATCTTTTAGCAATAATATTCTAAGAAAAGATTGAAATACCTTCTTGTGTACTGCTCCCTCCTGGATCATTTGGACTTGCAGGTCCAGTTGGTGGTTCATATCCTATTACCAAATCAATTGTTGCCTATATGGAAATGCATAGTTTTATACAAAGTATATAGTATTAATAACAAAGTATTTAAAGCATTAAGCGAGCATAACACTTCCTTAACAGTAACTATACTCCAGCATATTTTATAATAAAAACTTCATTCTTTTAGTAAATGAATAAACTGGTATTAAGCTCTCTATGTGTGTGTCTGTGGGCATATATACATTTATATGTGTGTGTGTGTGTGTGTGTATGTATATGTACATATACATATATAAATATATGTATATACATATGCACACTAAATAAGGACTACACAATTTACGGCTGATAAGAAATAGGCACTAAAACTATTTAGCAAATTTAATTAGTATATTTATGGTATTTAGAAAATTCCATCACAGTTTGTTTAGTTTCACAGTCCTTGTGGCTGAGGTGACTGTTACCATCCTGCACATACAAATGCAAAAATAAAGGCAGTGAGAGATAATGCTCTCTGATCCGCACAAGTCTGAATCAGAAGCAAAATTTCCTATCTGGCTCTCCTAATTGTTTGTTCATACCACCATCCTGGAAAAAAAGCACTAAGTCATTGCCTATTTTAAACATAAAAATATCGTTTTTTGCATGTGACTGCAGTTTTGAATTTTTAAATAAACCCTTATTATTTCCAGTTGCCAGAGTAACATGTGGTGTCAGCAAAAAAAAAAATAATTGTGATGAACTAACCATGATCTTAAGCTACAACTGAGAAGATAGAAAAATTATCCCTGAAATCTCTTATTAAGTGTACTAGAGTGTAAAATAAGGTATCTTAACAGCTATTCTGCACAAAAAAGTTAAGGTCCCAGCTCCAGAAACTCCTTCTGTTAGACATCAATTATTCTGTTAAACTTAAACACAAGCTAAATTAAGCAAGTTTTTCTGCCATTTTCTGAACTCAGATGAAACTGAATGTGGAAATGTTTATGCTTCCTAAAAATCCACGCTATGACACAGATGGGTGGTACAAATAAATTAAGCAGAAACTGCATGTAGGAACTCCCCATGACACACAGGAAAATGTCCAATGTCCTTTTTTCGATATCAGGCAGATTATTATGAATAGTCTGTTCTACATAATAAGCAAAATAAACACATACGAATACATAACACAAATACACAAAACTGCTCATCTGACTTAAAGGATTCTCTTCTATACCAAATGAACTCAAACATAGGTATGGCATAATATTTTATTTCATATTTCATTATATTTGTCTGGAGCTATGGTTATAAAATTGCAAAGCATTTAATCTACAACACAAAAATAACTTAAAATTATATATTTTTTCTACACTCCCTTTTGTGGGAGTATTTTCATCTAAAATATAGGAAAAGAAAGAAATGAAACTCACTCCAGTTTCTTGTCCCCTTTCATTTAGCAGAGGTACGAGTTTGAAAGGAAGAGATCTGCTCTGGTTCCCTACAAGGTCCTTAAGTGCTATGGATGCACTGCCAATTAATCTGAAATGAAGTTAAAATTTTATTAGAATGCAAGTGTAAATCAAATAGAAGATCTCTTTTATCTGTTGCCAGCATCTGTTTGTCAACAAAATGACTCCAATTATAACTTGGAAACACAAAACACAAAAAGCCATTGCAAATGCTGTCTAATAACTGAGTACTGCTAATTTGTATTTTCTGTATCATTACACTTAAACATTCTGGTTTTTTTTATTGAAGACACAGTTACAACACAATGAGGCTAAAGACGTAAATGACTTTGATTATATTTTTCTGAGTGACCCTCAATAATCATGCCATTTATTTCAGCCACAGAGTTCCCATTCATAAACTAGAGGATATAATACTTCCTCTTCCTTTGTAGTTTTTTAACGCTCAGAGAGAAGTGCTATATGACAGCTAGACACTATCGCTGTTGTAGCACACAGACTCAAAAAGAGATATGCACACACGTGTCCATGACACAAACAAAGAAAAAAAAAACAAATAAAACCAACGAGCTTACTATAGTCTTTACAAAATTAATTTTCTAATGGTACTTAGACTTTGCAGTAGATTCATCTACTTGCCTCTAAATTCTCAGATATTTAAATATGACTGTAGAGAGGCTCTGCCAAATAAGCTGCCCATGAAGTTTAACATTATGTGGCAGAATCTCCTGGGTTGCATTTCTCATTATGGGACTGCATGTGCCACCCTGAGCCTCTCAAATTAAAAAAAAAAAAAGGCAAGAATTGCATACACTTTCTACCTGAAAAACTTCTTTTACATAGAATTTCTACTTGTGCCCATATTACATATTATCCATATTACAACAGGGCTGTTGTTGTAATATGCTGGCACAGTATTTCACTTCCATAACATACAATAACTTCTGAAAATTGTAGCTGCAATTCGTTGAAGTGGATTATTGGAATAACTAAGATTTTTGAAAATGAGAGGACCCTGAGCTAATTTCACTATGTAAATATTACAAAGAACATGCTTTCCAAACAAAATACCAGAATTTCTGCCAAATTAGAAGCAAAGATCTTTAAGTGGAGAACTTAACTGAGATTGCTTTCAATAGATTACATTGCTTTTTCATGCGCAATTTGAGGCTTTTTTTTACATGAAGAAAGAATATTTTTATAGCTAGTCTCAGGTACTAAAACGCCACAGATCACACTTCACTTTTTGCAAACAATGGGAGAATACAGTAAGTATAAACATTATTCTTCTGTAAATATATATTCCAGGTATTCCATATCAGTACTTTTCTCTGTACATAAAAAAAACGATATTTCCATTTGAGTGACCTATTAGATTTACTTTGACACTCATCTTTTTAGTGACCCACTTTCCCAGATCACCTCCCACCTCTAATCTCAGTTGTCTTTTTGATAGTTTTGACTTACTCTTCAAACTTTGCACCTGTCTCCACTATTTTCACCTGCGTTAGGACTATGCTGGGTCTTCTGTACAGCTTGACCTGCCTCTTCACATCTTTTACAACTCCCTCCATCCCACTGCAGAACTTATTCCCACTTCCCCGTTGACCTCTTGGCTTGTGACCTGCTGTGTAGCCTTGTTCCCCATCTCCTTCATTTCTTTTTCTTCATCTCTCTCTCTGCTCTCTTTCCATTTCTCTGTTCTATCTTAAAAACATTCAGCTCCATCTAGCTTCCTGCAGTTGCCACTTTGTTTTTGTCTAGGGAGTACTTAATCACAGTTTTCTGAGTGCAGAGCAGGTATCATGCAAGCAAGCACTGATATAACTCTACAGTTAAAGAAAAGTAGAACAGATTCAGTGATTCAATCCCTGAAATTACAAATTGCAAAGTAATTAAGATTTTTTTCCCTCTTTAAATGGGTTTCTAACATATTAATGATATTAATGAATATCATTAATAATGATATGAATAATGAAAGTAACATAGTAAGCAAAAAGAAAATAATTAATACAGTTGAGAGTGTCAAATACTTGCACCTCATTCATGTGGCTGGATACTGAAAGAAACTTACTGAGAGAAAATATATTCACTTTTTTACTTTAATACAAAATGGATCAATAGTAAATGACAGCTCCAAATATTCTTATTTGCCCCCACATCCTTCAACTATGACTATGACTTCCCATTTGGAAAAGCTAAGTTTTAAGTAACTACAGAAGGTGAAAAAAAAGCCAAGACTATTCAAAAAAACAAACCTGATTCTAAAGAATGTCAGGAAAAAAAAACCTATTTTCCTATGTACATTTATGAGGAAAAAAAAACAAAAAACAAAAAAAAACCTAATTAGCTGATTTTGATTTCATATGAGCTGTAATGACTTATTTATTAACACCAAAAAGATTCAATTCAGAAGTCACCCATATTCAAATCATCCATATGACTGTACAGGAACCGCACCCTCCTATGTAGTGACATTAGCCCTGGAGCAAGTGTTCAGCTGTAGAGCTTTTGAAATTTGCCAGGGTAAATTTGCATTTCCTCATACTCATAGTAGCTCCTGCCCCAGTGATAACAGTGCACTCATTTGAATACACAAATTCAATACACATTGATTTCCTCAAGAAGACTGAAGAAATGCCAGTCAGAGAGACTTCCTGCCTGCTTATTAGTCTGAAGTCCTAAGTTTTCATCTCCTCTCCTAGGTCGAGCAAAAGGGATCTCCATTCCTTTCTCCCATTATAGCAAGAGTGAAAAATCTAATATTCAGCCTACCTATTTATTTAATTCTAAGCTTTAATTCCAGACAGTCAGTCTTTGGCCTTTTCGCTTTTCAAAGTGGTCCCGTTCACTGGATGCTTCTTCCTTAACAGAAGTGAAGGAAGATTTTTGTCTAACTTGCTGCTGAGTGCTGCCTTTATCTCTCCTCTTGGTGCATATACATCTGCATATCCAAAAACCCTAGAAGCCTTTTCACTCTATCTTGTCCTGCAATTACTCAGCTACAAACACCAAGCTCTAAACGCCTCTTTTATTCAGTCAGGTTGGATCCCTCCATGAGAATGAGTCACTATTATTTTATTGACCTCTGAACTTCTACAGAGGCTACAGTTGGCCACTGTGCAATACTCCTTAACTCTATTTAAGCAGTCTTCTGCCACCCTTAAGGTTTCTACCTGTATGGTAACCAGACAGCCCAAGAGCCTCTTAAACTTCTCCAGCTTTACCAAAGTTTAAAAAAAAAAAAAAAAACAAACACACCAATCTGTCCTGTCACAAACAGCTTTAACATTCTCATTTATATACTAAGCGGGACCTCAAAAGATAAATATAGAGGCAGAGTTTCAACCACTTCTAACAGTACTAGGCTTAAAATATTTTCTCCTCAGTAATCAAAGAAAAAGTTCTATTTAGAAACCAAGTAACTATCAATTGACCAACTGTTCAATGCAGTGTTGCACTTGTGCCAGAGCTAATTAATCCGTTAGTGCTGTGGTTACTGCTTCCTGTTAGCCACCCAAATAACCAAGAGAAGTGAAACTTCACAATCATGCCTTGATGAGGAAAATGAGGAAATGCTGATTCACTGTACCAAACATTTTGTTTCTCCCTCTCTCTGTTTGAAAGTAGCAATCTATATCAAGTTCTTTGCCATACCAAGCTGACTGTATGCTATTCCTACTGGCTGACATGCATGCATAATGATTTAGTTCTTTAAATTCTTTTGGCTTTTTCTAGGGTTTATTTTGGCAGAAGTTTATATTAATTCTCTTCTTTGATCCCACACTGTAAGTTATGATTGCTGTGTTCACTCTCTTTTTCACAGTGTCCTCCATTACAGAGTCTGAGCTAGAGGTCCTTCTGCCATGTTGTGTTATTCACATACTGAAAACAAACAAACAAAAAAACCCCAAAAACCATTCTTAGCAGTAAAACAACTATTTTCATGTTCTGGAGTTATTTGACAATACTTGTTGCAGAAACAAAGTTACAAAGTTGAAATAAGCAGGAAATTATGGATACTATTTCACATACATCAGAAAACTGAAAGACTTATCTTATTCAAGCTGGATCTTACATACATTCTATGGAAGCAAAGCGCAGCAACCATGCACAGCTTCACATACACAGAAGAATTTACAGAAATTGATCCAACTGAAGGAGAATTCAAACAATCTGTAAGCCCTTTTAAGTAATATTGTGAATTTAAACATGATCAAATAATTTGCTGTACCATTTGTGGCTGCATTTTTTTTGCCCAAGAAGGGTGTGTTCAATCCACTTTTCCTGTGTTACTAGGTTACTAACAATGTAAAAACCTGGAGAAACACATAATCCCCTGCCTACAAAAAGGCCACCAAATCAATTCACTCAGACAAAATTTTAACTTCCTGTTATTTTTTTAAACTTCACAGACAGAACTGAAATGACTCAGTTTTTCTTTTTCTAAACTACATAAAGATTTGAGTTTTTAGAGCTTGAAATATTTCCAAAAGTCCTGGAGATAACAGAAAACAGATGTTTTCTCTTTTCAGACATTTTTATACTGGAAAATTCAGCTAAGCATGAACCTTGCATGTGAGCCCTCTCTAGTTTATTTCTCTGTTGATCTGCGAGATCCCTGTGGTTTGCTTTATTTGTCTTTTCCAATGACTGAGTCATTTTTCCATGAATACTCATTTAATTTGCAAAAGCTTAGTGAGCCTGCAAAGCAGCAGCAAATTTTTTTTCAAGGGGAAAAAAAAAAAAAAAACGGAAAAACACACATAACTCATTATAGCTTGATTTACAGAAACATGCCACAGGAGTGTTTTGGCACAAGGGAGAAACAGGGTAAAATCCACTTTGCTCACTGCGTCAGTGAACAAATAGACCGGACAAAAACTATAAATTTTATAGGAGCTATAACAAATTGTGGGTTTCTTGTTCTGTGCATTTCTAGGTGTGGAATGTGCATTCTGCAGTCACCTCTCCAGCATAGCCATGCGCACAGTAGTAACACTGCATAAAATAGCTGAGTATTTGTTGCCAAGAAGCTTTGCGAGTTAGAAGCCAGAAAGTGGGGGTAGGGCTAAGTAAAACATTGTTCTGCTTACATCCTACCCTGCAGCAGAGAGCTGGCAGAACATTCAAGCAAGAGGCTAAAGTGCAGCAAACATGAGTCTCTGAAGTAATAGGCTTTTACCCTTGAGGGGCTAGAGTTCAGCTAACATCATGAATATTACATGTTGAAATGAACACCATATTTAATGTTGTATGCAATTAATACAATTGTTTAAATTAACTGTAATAAAAGTTCTTGGTAGTCAGGAGGTTATGGTGGTAGGCATTGTACTCCCATCTTTGCAATTCTGATCTAGTCTGCAGATTTTGCATTTGCTTGGCTATCTACCTCACTGAGCAATAAATCTGTGGGACAATTAGTGGGAGAGGTTCCATACTCAGACCAAGGTGGAAGAAATAAGATTGTGTAACTGGAAATTTCATTTAGAGGTAAGATTTATGCAAATCTTTCACAAGCTTCTAATCTCTATTTATAAATACCACTTCAAATCACCAGCTCTTTAAAGTCAGAGGAAGTTGAGCAAGATATCATGAAGACGAAATGCTTTATTCAAGGTGCAACATCTAAATTCTTCTCCTTGGTATAGAAAAATCTAAATTCTTCTTTACTGTGATTGTATAGATATAACAATCGGAAATCATATAAGTAAAACTAACCAGTATTTAAGCTATTTAAACACTAGGAAGAACAAATCTGTATATACCAATACTACTACATTTGGCAAAGTACAAGATTTTGTTCCTTTTCATTAACTGCTTCTTTAAAACTGCCTACCTAAAGCATTCTTAAATAACTCTTATTATAAGTCACATTAACTTATGGAGATATTTAGCCATATGTATGTGCTATAGAATATCTTCTTATTTTATGATTGAGACCACCTCACTACAGGGCACAAATCATCCATTCTGAAGAATGGACACATTACAACAATGAACTGTTATTTCCTCAGGTACTTACAGTTAAAGTATCATCTGGAATAGTCACATAAGGCTGATGCACAAGCAAGAACAAACAAACACACCTTGATTAGCAAAAGCAACAGTGAAAGAAAATCCAAACAGAAATTCCTTCTATTTTGCCAGAAACAGTAAACTGAAAAAAGATACCTACAGTAAAATTTATCTATATCTAAAAAATATCAAATATATCATGTTATAAAACATGATAAAATTGATAAATTTGCTAGAAAGCTCAGTTACCTGCATAGTTGTACTCTTTTTAAGTACTAAAAGGGGATGCTGTGCAAGCAGGCAGAACTACAACATGATAATCCTAGTATTTTCCTGAAGTTAGTAAAATTAAAAAACAAAAAAACAAGAAGAAAACGTTACACATGCACTCAGAAACTCAAAGGTAACATGGGTAATGCATGCATGGCAGCAACAAAAGGGAAGTTTATTTCAGATCTTTTTTCCCTTCGTTCATATTCCCCTCTTTCATATTCTTTTTCCTTGCAACATCAATGTTCATTAATATTACAGCTCTTCTGCTGTTAAATTGCCTTGTGCTTTTAAAAGAAATCTGAGGTGACATCTTCTTTTATCTTTTATGTAATTCTCACTTCCTTTTCCTGTTTCCTCACTCCCAGTAATCCCTCCCAAACAGATCTACATGCTACACCCATGCAAGTGTTATTGGAGAAGAACCATTTTTATAGTGTTGCTGTTTTTGATGCAGATATATACGCTTTTGTATAGCTCCATGTGGAAACTATTTTTCCAAAGCATTATTTGCCTCCCTTATAAACCATTTGAACCATTTGCTCTCTTTTTTATTTGCCCCCCCCCCTTTTTTTTTTTAATTTGCTCATAGAATATATAAATTGTAGACAACTTCTGGTGCATAAAAAAAGCGTGCATAAAATTTGTTCTTGCCCAAGCTGGGGTCATGTGAATGCACATGATATTTAACAAACACACACACACACAGAAAGAAAAAGAGGCCTCCTATAAACAGAGTGAATTCTTTTTAGGAACATTTAAAGGATTTGAGATGAGCACCTTTCCTTATTTGGTGACACTGTTTAAAATACAGCACAAAACTCAGATTCTTGGCAGGCTTTCCTTTATCAAGATTTGTGCTTTCTGGGATTTCCCCAAGATCAAGGCATGCAATGTATTCTGTTTTACTGATTGAAAGGAATCTCAAGAATGAGAACTCTGAAAGTATCAGATTGCCTAACAGTGACAGAATTGTAATTCAGAGATTAGGAGAAGACTGGAAGTGGACTGCTATGAATAAATGTGAACATATGCACAGTACACAATCATAAAATATCCAAACTTAACAGAGAAAAGTTAAGGAAAAGATGGGATATCACACATCCTTTTAATACAGCAATATCCAACATTAACAGGCATTAACAGGAGAAAGAATGTTTCATATTTTGTAATATTTAATTGTTTTTCTCCTCAACAAACTGAGGAAAAGAGCCATGTACCTCAGCCATGCTGGCAGAGCAGCATGAAATGGACAATGTATACAATATAGGAGTTTAAACATAGAAACAGGGAGATGACATCTCATTTTGAAAAAGTTGTGCTCTTTTTTCTGTAAAGATTTTAATTGAGTTTCCAGTGGTTACATAGTGGACTAAAAACTCCCATAAGAACTTGTTTGTCTATTTACATTATTAGGGGGAGGTGAGGGAGAATAAATAAAAAAAGAATAAACCTGCAGAAGTTCCCGTACACCGTGAACTCACTTCATGGTCAAAAGCTTTGCAGGAGAGAACCCCTATACAACTGCAATGGCAGACAAGAAATAAACATCGCACAAAAATGGTGGAGACAGGCAGTAGAAGACAGAAGAGATTCCAATTTTTTCACTTCTTTGTAATTCCTACTGGAGTCCCCTTTACTCACTGCTACCTCAATCTTTGCCAGAGATTTCAGTAGGAGCGGGTTTGGACTCAAAATAGTATGCTTTATTCCTCTTGTTGGTTAAATAAAAGATTTCTTATTATCTTCCTTTTGCCGAAGCCTGTAACCTTTCCCTTCAATTTATTTGAGGGATCAGGATTATTCCTGTGTGGTGATTCATACAATAAACAACATACCAACTATGTATTTTTATACAACAGTAATTAATTACATTGGAAGATTCCCATGTACATCATTTTAATATTTCAAAGCAATACATTTTTCTTACTGGCCCTAGTAAAAAGATTCTAGCAACTTTATTATAATGTTTGTTCTTATATATTAATAAATTACTCTTAAAAGCTAATGGATCAAAACATCCATATTGAGCAACTTGAACGTTTTATTCCTACATGTTCCCATTTTCTATAAGTCAACAAAAAAGTGGACAATATTAAAGCACTCAACATTTTTGTAATTCCCTCTCAACTTGATATGAAAAGAGTTGATTGCTTCTTAAGCTACTTCAACAGCAAGATTAACAACAAGAATCTATAATTTCCATGAAATCTTACAGAAGACAGAGTGTAATTATTTCATGAACAGAAAATCAATGTATTTTTCACTTTTTAGTTAAAGGAGAACTATTTATGTTGTGATATCTTTCCAGGCACTTGTAGTTATAGCTGTTGTTCCTTTAATTCTATAAAATCAATAAACTCTGATTTTGTCAGGGAAGTTTTTGTCTGAGCATCTAAGATTTTATCAAAAGTCCAATGAAGACAACTGCATGTCTGAAATGATCCTTCAGCCTCTCACACAGGAACAAAAAGACTACACACAAAAACATTTGCAGCACCTTAGGTTCACTGGGCCACACAAAGCCTATTGTTTAGAAGGCTAAAAAAAAAAAAAAAAGTAGCCTAGAAACCATTCCCAATAATATTTTTTTTATTATATACAACATATGCATGCACTCTCCCAAGAAGTGAGTCTAGGATGTGACTATCTTCAGTGGGGGTTGAACTTCGGCATCCTCACTTCCTAGACAAGACTTCTAATAACAGAGGTAAAATACAGCTCCTCAGGGAGATTTTCAAAGGTGACTAAGAGCCATGGTTGCATCCTGCAATCCTTTTGTGTTTACCTTAGCCATGTTATGAGAATGGCTATTAAGAGTTCCTCAGAGCTATTTTCTGGATGCTAATCAAGTATCATAGCCTTGGGTGTTGCACTACGCCCATCTGTGAGGAGATGGCCTGTCACAGATAGATTTATGCCATTCTATTTATCTACTTGAGGATCTTCAATATAAGCAAACACCAACTGAACTAAGGCAAGTCTAGTTTTCAATAAACAATAACAGGTGTAGCGATCTAGATTTTATCCAAATTCTGCTTCACATGTCCTGGAGAAGAGAAGGCTGAGGGGGGACCTGATCAGTGTCTATAAATACATCACGGGAGGCAGTGCGGAGGAGGGGACTGGCCTCTTTTCAGTGGTGGACAGCAATAGGACTAGAGGAAACAACCACAAGCTGAGGCACCAAAAGTTCCACAGGAACTTAAGGAATCATTTCTTGACAGTGAGAGTGACAGAGCACTGGAACAGGCTGCCCAGAGAGGTTGTGGAGTCTCCTTCTTTGGAGATCTTTAAAACCCGCTTGGACGCAGCCCTGTGCCACGTGCTCTAGGTGACCCTGCGTGAGCAGGGCGGTTGGACTAGATGACCTCTGAGGTCCCTTCCAACCTTAAGCATTCTATGATTCTATGAAATCTTTCCTTGTAGACAGTTTCAGATAAACATATCTAAAATTACAAAGAAAGAGAGATGCCACTTTCCTTCTAAGTAACAATTGAACACATACAGGATAGGAAACACACTGGCTTATAGGCTACAAGCAGGGTTTTTTTGTTCTTGGATTTTTTGTTTTGTTTTGTTTTTATCACAAGCCATCTAGCTGCATCAATCATTTCTTTCCACTAACAATCAGTCCCATTTTCCTATAGACTTCTGTACTGAAATTTAAGTGTTTAATGTTGGAGAAAAAGAACATACTTGTTTTGTCCAATTGTTTCAAAATCCTTCACAATTATTGCCAGGGAAGACGAATTATCCAGAGCAATTCCTTTCAAGTCAAATTCAAGAATCTGAACAAAGAAATGGAGCAACAAGAAACCATGATTACAAGTTAAATGTAAATAATTAAAGTAGCATGTAATGAAATTATTCAGAAATAAATTTTGCTTCTACTAAGAGACAGACAAGAAAAGCTTAAATCTGCAAGCTCACTGTGTATAGCCTTGGAACAACCTCATAAAACACTCTTGATTTGGCACTTAGTAGCCATAATAACAGAAAAAGACCTATTTTGTTTAAAACTGACACATTTGTATTTGCATTTCCTTACAGCATGACTATTTTATATTCATTTATATTCATGACTATTTCTACACTCATTCCTAAGATTTTTTACTATTCCCACTGCAATCTTGATCAAAAGTCAGCTGCTTTTGAGTTCAGACACATATTTTGTAGGTTTTCTTTCTCTGTATAAATAGTTATAAATATAACAATCTTTGAATTCCATTTCTGGTGGTGAAATTTAGCAGTATTAAAATTTTTATCTTAGAAAAATATTATTAAAGATGCAAAATATGACTAGATGTATTAGATTCATGAGAAACTTCAATACATGGATGAGTACATCCTCTCATAATTTTTTTTTTTTTTTTTTAATTTTTAGTATCTAACAAGGGATCCAAATATTTACCAGTAGATGTGGCTATACAATATCCGGGTATCATCTGGTCCAGAATGACTGGAGAAAAAAAGCCACAAAAGAAAAAGAAAACAAAACATATCTGCCTACTTTTACTTCAAATGTTACACAATGTATTAATTATACACGGCACAAGATGAAATCACTTAGTATTTGTTCATTCACTTCCAAATACCTTCACTATCACCAACTTCTGTTTCCAAAAGTCACATTTGCAGCAACCGATTTACCAATTTTAGAAGTATTTTGTATTATAAAAGACCAAGACATGGAAACATAAAAAATTACCTCATTCCAAACAGGATGGAGTTCACTGTCAATTTTCTTTGTTTTCTTTTTTTCATCTATAAAGACAAATAAAGTTCAATGATTGACTCTACTATTAGTAAAGAATAACAAAATATCAGAATTCTTCATTTCTCTCTTCAATGAGTTTTAAACCAATATTCCTCTTTTTTTGGTCTCTTCCAGTAGTTAGAGGTTTTGCAGGAAAAAAATCCTTTGGTCAATTTTAGTAATTGTTAAGGTTTCCTATCCTGTTTTGTTTACAAATGCCTGTATGTATCCCTCCAAAAGAAATTAAATTTCAGTCACCTCAAACCTTTTATGACTTTTTCAGTACTGGTAAAGAAGAACTGACCAAAAGTCCAGAGACATCAAACCAAGCAATAACCTCAGAATGCACTTTAGTAGTAAAGACATTGCGTTATATACTTAGCATACCCGGGTTACCAAATATTTTAACTTTTTAAACTCTAAATAACATCACTTGAGGAAAAAAGAATTAATGCTTGAATACAAGTATCTTCTGCTTTGAACAAGCAAGCATTAGCAGAAGATAGATAAACACACAGAGACACACAAGGAAATGCAGTCCTCAAAACAGCGGCTTCCAGAGACAACCTGTGAAGATGCATCACTTCACTCGCTTTACTATAGCCTTCGAAATACAGATCTTCCACCATTCAAGGTAAAGTCTGCATTTGGTCAACCAACAAATCATGCGACAGGGTAAATTACAATTACTGTGACATTTCAATACAAATTGTTCTCCTTCAAGTAACAACCTCAGTGTTGCAAAAGCCCCATACAGACTCCCCTCACCTACAACCTTCTCTTGAAGAGAAACAGAATTCCAGAATTGCAACAGGTTTGAAGCAAACAGCTGATGAGTATTTTCAATGTTTAAACGACGTGGAGCTTCAACATAAAATATGTCTTGACACAAAAAAAAGCAATGGAAAACACTGGGACTCTGAACAAAGATCAACTATCAATGATAACAAAAGAACATATCTAAGTAAAGCCAACAAACTAACTGGTGATATATCAAATACACAGTATCAGAAGGCTGGAGTTCGGACACATTCCTCGCATTAAAAAAAAAACAATAAAGGTAAAAGCATTTGTATTATTTCCAACTTATGACTATACTTTGCCAGAAAAGCTTTGTAGAGGTCCAAAAAGCAACAATAAAGATATCCTGGGCAAGTCTGTACACACACTGTTTAAGCAGTATTCTGTGGTGACTCTTTCTACTGGATGAATGGGGGTGGGGAGGGAACGAAGGGAAAAAAACCAAACCCATACTGCAAATTGCAAGACCTGAGTCACATTTGTGTAACAGGAATTGTCTACAATTTATACAGGATATTGACTCACAGCATACCACAAAGGAAAGAGCATTCATAACCTACCAGGCTGCAGACTCACATTTTGCAGAACAAAGAACTAATTACCATGCTAGCAAAATAAATTCAGACTTCTTGTAGCATAATAAGAGACAAAGCATTTCTGAATATGAATTTCCCCCAAAATCTGTGGTTTGACATTGCTACTGCATGTCCTCCTCCTAAAATAGGAGCCAGGAATCACAGAAAAGACCTTTTCTGTGCTGGTGGAAAGTAGGAAAAGTTGAAGTTGTTAGTGTAAATGGTCATAGTGAATCACAGACAGGAACCTGAGGGAAAAGCTCTATGACCTCTGTCTAAGCTCAACTGTAACTCTGCAACAGAGGAAAGACACAGTTTAAAAAGGGGCCAAGACAATTCTTGACATAGAGTAAGATTATCCTCTCTGGACTGAGAAGTTTTCTGAGAAACAAAAGGGGAAGATTTATGATTCCATTATAATAGGTATATTCTAGATTATAGTCAAGAAAAACATTCTGTAATATACATTTGTGTGAAAGGTGGATCAGAACCTGGGAAGCAGCATTAGCTGCTTGAACTCCTAACTCTGAAATACAAAGAGACATCGCATTCCAGTTTGTAAGTGCCCACAGAGTGTCCTTTAGTGAAGAACTAAGGTCACACAGTGGTGACAAATGCAGGATGAAGCAAACAGATTTCCAAAAACCAGGAAATGAAAGTTGCAATAATTTATACCTCTGCAAAAAATGAAGTAAGAATGTAGTGAATAACTACACTCCAAAATTTTTTCTTCCATACACAGAAAAATAAACATAGTTACGTATTACCATAAGGTCACTTTAAAATTATTACATCAAGCACAAATGTGGGAAAATAAACAAACCAAACGCCATCTCAGTTAATTTTTAGTGCATAAAGTCAAGTTATTTGACTGTGATCAAAGGGAACAACCAAAGGCCTAAGGGACTTAGCACTTGCGGCACACACCAACAGTGCTAACTTTTTACTTTTATCCAAAGACAATAAACTTACATATTTTTCTCCATTTCAGTGTATGTGACATTCCAAAAGAATGTCAATGACTTAATCACTACTGCTTTTTCAGCAAAGGGCAATGCTTTTCCTCACTAAATAATGGACTACTAATTTGTCTTACACAAAGTCATGACAATCTCAAAATCTGCCCTAACAGCACCTAGCTCCAAGACAGCAAAACTAGTTTACTCTGGGGGTGTAGTTCTCTTTGAATAAGAAAGTGTTTTTTAAAGTAAATAAAAGGAAAGTTCCAACCCAGTGGGCTGATATTAAAAGCATAAAAAGCCAAACATTTGCGCAGAACTCCCACTATTGTAAACAAAATGTCACAATGAAAACCGTTGTGTATTTCTGAATAATATGTACCACAAGTTACTGTATTGATCATACTAACTGTAGAATCATAGAATGCCGAAGGTTGGAAGGGACCTCAGAGGTCATCGAGTCCAACCGCCCTGCTCACGCAGGGTCACCTAGAGCACGTGGCACAGGGCTGCATCCAAGCGGGTTTTAAAGATCTCCAAAGAAGGAGACTCTAGTTAGAAGGAGACTGTAGTTAGTCTCTAAGTTACAGAAATATCAGTGAACTCTTTTCTACACACAGAATGGTACTAATACATGCATATTAACAGATAAAATGTTTGCAGGGTCATTTATACACGTATACATACACATTTATACATACACTAATATTTATAGGACCATGGTCTTTCCCCCTTCACAGTATACTTGTAAAGATCTAATCCTGAGAAACACTGTGCATTTTAATTGAAGTCAAAAACTTGGCAAGAACTGCACAAGTTAAAAGTTTGAAAATGCTGTTCAATGAAACATAGCTTCCATAACAGGTTTCTGTCAAGTGAGTCAAGTTCTGAACTTAAGACTTCTCCAAGAATACTCTGGAGTGCAAGAATACAAATATGTACTGCAGAGGTAAGGCCAAAGTCTTGAAAATGCTTGCTTATTCTGAGTCTTTTCCAGTCTGTGAAATGTACTCCCAATCTTGTTTTTTATGAACTACCAAGGTACTTTCAGTGAGCATGGACTACAACTAGTAGAAAATGCTGCTGGTTGGCATGCATCTGGGGAAAAAAAAACCCATAAAATCTCAGCCTCTAAAGTAGAGTGGGTTAGGGCTGCATATAAAACACATTTAAACATTAAAAATGTCAGAATTTGAACATATGCCAGATACGATTCCCATCTCCCTGCACTTGCAGCCAGGTAATCAACTACAAATTAAATCAGAGCTCTTCAAAGGTTGGCGAGAAACCAACGTTTTCTGGACTCCTTGCACCACTCTGGCCAGAAATCCAAAAAAAAAGTTAAGCTACTATATGTAGTATAACCACATAAAAAAGAAGCTACAGGTATAATGAGATATGAAATGTTCTACTAGGAAACTGTCAGAATCCAAGTTGTATTAAAAAGAACGGTTAAGCATATTTATGAACATGAACAATCTTCATTACGATACATAACAGATAAATACGATTTCACCTCTTTAAAGCCTGATGCATGATCCCTATGATAGGAAAACAATTCTTGCTATGTAAAAACATGAAAACAAATCTCAGAAACAAACCCAGCTATGTAAAAGCAAATATAGAGAGAGATTCTCTAGGTAACTGAACTGAATTAGAATGTAATATGAGCAAAAGATGAGAGGGGAGAATTTTAACCCTGAAATGTAGCAGAAAAGAATTAAGATCAAAAGCAGTACACTCAATCACTGGAGATTCAATAGAAGTTATAAATCAGCTCCAGTCCTCAACAAAATGTCATGATTTCAGACTAGATTTCTTGAGGTGACAAACCCTTGCAATGATTTTTCATATTTTGGAAATACCATTTCCATTTCAGCATACTTTTGAAAATTATATCCGTTGGAATTAACATAACTAATTTTCATAGTTCAGTTTAATGGATTACAAGATCCAAAATTTCCTGGAGGTTTCTGCACCTTGAAAACAAAACGCTATGTCAAATCAAGTCCTTTTAGTCCAGCCAAAAAGGGAATTAATGACAACAGAAATAAGGTAAAGAATTCACAACAGAAAAAAAAAAAAGTAATATTTAACAGCAAAATTAAAATGGATCTAACTAAGCCATTTAGTTTGGACTTTAAAGCAAACAGCTAATCCTTTGCAGAAGCTTATAAAGTGTGGTTCTTGTAACAGAGGCATTGCTGTTCTGAAAATAAAGTTTTCTCACCAACACTCTCCACACAGTTCAAGCTTCTTCGAGTAAACTCCAGCTTTCTTACAAAAGTCTCTCCTAACATTATACCAGATATAAATTTATAAACAGCTTATTACAAATTTTCAAATACTTACATATATCACTATCTTAAGAAAGCCCCCTTCCTAAGTACATTTATGACAGTTCTCCTTACCTTTAAAAATAACAGAAACAATAGGATCTGGTTTCCCAAACTTGGTTTTAGGGATATTGCTGGCAGATTCTACAATCACCCGGAGCATTGTTTCCAGTCTCAAAAAAACTTCTGTTGTTACCAAAGAAATTCAAAGAAGCCTTAAGTCTCAGGCTCTAACGTCTGGACTGAAACACGAGCAGGAAGGAGGCAGGGAATAGTTGGTTTATAGTAAAGAAGGATTATGGGTGGATCTATGACAGATTAACTGTTGAAGGCTATGTAAAAAAAAAAAAAAAAAGTTGCTCTTACTAGAGAAACAGGACAGTGGAAAAAAAATGGGTGCAGGATTTTTTGTTTTTATTTTTAATCTGCATTAAAAATAAAATCTGCTCTCATAAGTAACCAGAGCAAGAGAAGTATAAGCATAAGCAGTATAAATTAATGAAAACCCCAGCAGTCAAGACTCATGACAGCTGTCAGTACACCAAGGTATTAGACTTAATGACATTTCATACTTTTTTCACCTCCGTTTCTAGAACTTCATTGTGGTTTTACTCTGCCTCCGTGACTGTCTTGAATCACGAAATACCTTGAAGCACTTAAACTACTTAAAGTAGTTTAAGTACTTAAAGTAGTTTAAGTGCTCCCCCTTCAGTCACGACCAGGAAGCCACATATTAAGTATCAAGCATAGCCATGTTAGATGAGTATTTAATATGTCTCTCGTAAATAAATGATTAAAATACAAACGCAAAAATAAAAATGTAAAAGAGGCAAATATCTGAAAAAATGAAGTGTATTGCTTAGAGGACTATAAATCTTTTTTTCTAATAATATTAGGAATAAGATCTACTGCAACAAAACAACCTAACATTTAGGTAGACCCCACAAAACTTGTAAAACTCTGCTCTGTACTAAACTATCCCATCTTCAGTTCAACAGCTGTTTTTCCCAACTTGTGATCTGTGGACCAAATTAAAATACCAATGCTCTACTATGGAAAAATATGTATTTTTAGGTACGAGTGAAAAGGAAAAACAACAAAATTGAGCAATATGAATCATACACTGGCATTCAAAGTTCAGCCTAAGTTTTATTTGGTTACACATAGAAACTTCTGAAAACTAGCAGTACTCTGTGTGATCCTGGCTTACCACCTCTAAAACAAGATGGTTCTGGCTTCTTTTCTAAATGATTAGATCTTACACAGTTGAGGAAGAGGACTACAGAGGAAGAAAAGGCAAACGAAACCTGAAGCACAGGAAGACAACGGATGCCATTACATAGAGAGGGCACAGAAGACCTGGCCAAAATCATTCTACTCTGCCCCCTATCCTGGATAAGTCCTGGTTGTTGCAGCCCCCCAGGATTACCAGTGCAACCAGCAGAGCTTGCACTCTCGCTAAGCCACTTACCTTGCCACCGCAAAGGGCAGGGGATGGGGGCCTCCCACGAGGCACTGCAAGACAACGCCCGCTAAGCGACGTGAGGCAGCGTCCACCTGCCACCACCTCTCGCTTTCCAACAGCCATTTTAACAACGAAACCGCAACTCCCTTCGAAGGGAAAAACTCGCAAAAGGGAACCGAGCCCTGCACCACCCCTCAGAACCGCCTGAGCTGCCTGCACAAGACCGAAGAGCCCACAGGGGCACAAGTACAGCTCGCGCCTCGCCGCAGCCGTTAACGGTCGCGAGCACGTGTCACGTATCCCAGAGCAGGGCAGCAACAGGAAAGCCCCTGGCTATTGGTCAGGGAGCGCAAGCAGCCAACAGTCGCGCGGCCCCGTCAGCCAATGGGGTGGCTCCTTTTAGCAGCGAGAGCATCCTCGCCTCCGCAGCCGTTAGCACCTACCCCACGGCCCTCTCGCTCAGCCCTCCCTTCCGCGCAGCCGCAGAAGCGTTTTCATTTTCTCCCTCGCGCTTCCTCCCGCCCCGCCTGTTTCGGACCATTGGAGACACCGTAGCCGTCGCTGTGACGGCGGGATTCAAACTCCCGGAAGCGACGCTGAGCCGGCTGGTGGAGAGTGGCGCCGCCGCCGCCACCGGGCAGGGCGGGCGAGTCCCGCGCCCGGAGCCCCCGCGGCCGCCGCCCCCGCGGCCGCCGCCGCCGCCCCCCGCGCTCCTGCCGGTCCTCGAGGATGACCGCGAAGGGCGCCAAAGAGGTCGTGATCGGCAAGTGGGTCTTCAAGCTCGGGAGCCCGCGGGCTGAGGAGGAGCTGGAGAGGCGCCGGCGGGATTCGGCGGCCCTGCGGAGAGGGGCTGAGGAGCTCGCGGAGGGGAAAAGCAACATGACGGGTCCGGAAAGAGAGCGGCTCCTGGAGGTGAGGCGGCGGTGCCTGCTTGTTGTTTAACCCCGGGGTCCCCAGGTTAGGGAGGGGGAATGTCACAGACCTGCTCTGCTGGGTGACCTTTGTATCAAAGTGCTGGTGTCTAGAGAAGTGCATTTTGAAGCTAAAGGATGACTTAGAAATGGAGACTTTCTCCTAATTCATTTACTGTACCTCTTCTGTGACCTCTGCTTGCTGTCACTTTACTTGTGAGAAGGCTCCAAAGCTTCCCAAGAGCCACTAAATATGCTAAATATCACCCAGAAATGACTTGGCAACCCCTTCCTCCTCCAGAAGTGCCTCCAGTACAGCTTGTACATGAAGATTTATGAATTGTACTGATTTCTGTTCATATAGAAACCAAAGCACCTGCAAAGCTTATTTATCTTTATTTATCTTTGCATTACTTCAATCACTTATTTCCTATTTCACCTGCTCTAGACTATATTCTCTCAAATGATCATCACAGCTGTTTTCAGTCAGAAACAGAAAATTACTGTTTTCAGCTAACTAAAATTTAAGAGAGCCTTTCAAAGTAAGTATTTTTTTCAAACTGTTGTTATCTTTCTAATGCCTTGGCTATGTGGACTGACACTCCTATCTGTCACTTCTGGGGGGGGGTTTCTTTTAGAAAATACTTTCACTTGAAACAGAAAAAGAGAAAAACAACCGTATTCTTGGACAGAAGGACAAAGAAATCCAGAACCTAAAAGACAAGCTCAAGTCCAAAACCAAAAACAGTGAAGTATCCTCATTACTTAGTCAACTAGAGGAAAAAACAAAGGAAGCAGAAAAAAGAGAACAGCTACTTAATTCTTTGTCAGAGGAAATGGACCGGTTAAAATGTAACTTAGCTGCTGTTACTGCAAAATGTTCAGAGCTTGAAAACAGAGCTGGGACTTTTCAGCCATCCCAGGTAAGTACTGAACAGGTGTCATAATTATTTATGTTGGACTTGAAACCGTTAAGTAGCAAAATGAATCACAAAACAGCATGGACTGTAAATCTTCCTTCATGTTTTTTGCATGCTGAAATATCCTTTTCTGAAGAGAGGAGGTGCCCAGTTTGACCCTTTGTCAAGTGACGAATGAGCAGAGCACAACTGGCTCCTTCAGTGGCAGCATGTCTGGGGAGGAGAAGTCTCTGCTACTATCCCCCAAGATCCGCTTGCAAGTTCACGTAGAAGCAGTGTGACTAGAGGCACTATGTGTGAGGATTCAGTGTGACTGAACAGCTATGACACCCTTTCTTGAGATCTGCATGGTCAGGGCACTACTAAGGGAAATTTAGCTGTTCACCCAGTTCTGCTTCAGTCATAACAATATCTTTGTCTTCCCTCTTATGAATCCTCTTTTACTCCTCAATCAGTTTTTAAAACTAGTTGCCTGTACTTTACATGACATCAAAAATAGCAAATGCTTCAACGTGTCAGGAGGTAGAGTATGAATAATGAATTACTTCTCTCATCTAAAATGGTTAGAAATTATGGTGCTAGGCAATTGGCTGATTTTATAAGTGGATTTAGTTTTTTTTTTTTATTATTTTTTCACCCCAGTATGTGCTAACGCTCATTGAAAAAATGAAGTGGTATCTCAGCAAGAGGCAGCTTCTAACCTTTAGATGATGCTATTTCCCATGCTACACGAAGAGCTTGAGTACCTTATAAAAATCCCACTTAAACTAAATCCTTAAGCAAGTAAATCATCTTAATTTTCAATGATAATTTATATCATGTTGATCAGTGTTTCATCTTGGGGAGTATTACCAATTTAATCTCCAGTATTAAGAGGTTCTGAAGCTTGTTAGAGAGATAAAGAACGTAAAACTTTGAATTTATCCAACAGACTTCATGCTATTTTTGTCAAAGGACTTGTCATTTTAATAACCACTATAGAAACTTGTTTTATAAACCACACCAGTATCAGAAGCGTATCTCTGAACAGTCTCAAATGAAATCAAAAACTTTTTGGCCAGCTAGAAAACATACTCACTTTGGTTACTAGATGTTATTTATTGTATCTATAGAGTAACCTGGAGAAAGTGTTAAGTTAAATTTCAGTGACAATAGCATAACGTTCTGATGCAAAAATGTTTAGCAGATTAACAGAATGCTAGGGCATAAATAAGTAAATAGAACAACTAAGGCAAATAATCCTCCTGTAATCTAAATACTTTTATTGAAAAAAACGCATGACACTGAAAACTCAAGACCATCCTTTGTAACTTATTCTTCATCACTGTCTCAGCAGCCTGCTGCTTGCAGAGGCATTTCTTTCTATTCTAAGTGTTAACTAGGAAGATCAAAGGAAGCCTACCCATTAGATGTGGTATCTTCTTTGTTAGCACTAGAAACAGGGCTCTCTCCTATTTTTTAAGAGCAGCTTGCTAGCTGTCATGAACTAAAAAGAAACTCCATGGAAGCAATGGATAGCAGAAATGTTATCCTTTGGATTCCACTTGCTAAATTATCTTTTAATGTAAAATCAGCTTTTTCTTCTAAATATTGGCCATGTTTTTCAATGAATGACAATAAAATTTGACTTTGAGTTAAAGTCTTGGAAAGCCTGAAAACAAGTGTAGCAGTGCTTCCTGAAGCTGCTAGGTGGCACACGAGGAGCAGGTACAGTTTGTTGGATTGGAAACAACAGTTGTATGACATAATACTACTAGAATTTTTACAAATGTCACATTCTACTATTTATAGAAATAGGAACCTGATCAATCATAATGTCTCTAAATCCAGGTTTTATTAGTTTAATAGTTTAATTCAAAATATCCTGTATTTTCAGCTACTAAACTTGCCCTAAATCATGTTCCAAAAATCACAGGAAAAAATCTAATAATATGGCTTGGAGTTAGATAGCATTTTTATATCTTAAAAGTTTCCTCTAACTTCCCTCTACACAATTTCAAAACCCTTTTACTATGACTAGTGTGCAGTAAAATGTGATGTTTGGTTATGAACAAAGTAACTGCTTAACTGTTCTTTAGCTGGGTATAAAGGACTCTGAAAGGCATTCTTTAAAGGTGAGTTCTACTGTGGATTGTGCGTCAAAAACCTCAGTCCTTACAGTTCCAGATAGGTCTGCATGCATTCTGAAACACTTACAAAGCTCTGCTTATCTTGGTGAAGTTGTCAAGGGCTCCAGCTTCCCCCAACAACAGGAATAAATTAAATGTAAATCCAATGCACTGTATTTTCCTGGATGTTTTTCTTTTACCTGTATAGAGTATGAAGATCTCTAAATCCGAAAATATCATGGATGAGTCCATGTTTGCTATATATAAAATATTCTTATGCTGATTACTTATGGGAGATTAATAATTACTAGTTTTACTCTTTCAACCAACTAATTTTAAGAACTCTAATGGATTGTTTTTTATCTGCAGGAGGCTGTAATGGACAGCACTGGATCACCAACTGATCTTAATGAAGTTGAAAACCAATTGAAAGATGTAAGTTTCTTGTATAACATTCTAAGGATACATAATCTGTAATGAGATGTATAAGAAAGTAAATTATCACCATGTATGTTTTGACTATAATGGGACCCCAGAGTATGGGTTTCCTTCTAAAAGTATCATACCTAGAATTATTTTGTGACAAGCAGTCCTTAAATAAGGACAGGCTGAAAAAGGTATGTTTTGTGTGGGGGGAGGGAAACACCACCAAACAAACATCCCATCCTTTTTTTATTATTATTATTATTATTATTATTATTATTATTATTATTGTTTCTCATCATCTTCAAAAAGATTCCTTCTTGCAATGTTTGAATAGGGTAGCTGTTGGTAGAAAAGGAGCGGTACTTTAAATTACTTGTAAGCTTTTGTGCTAAATGCTGTCTCTTGTTAAAAGATGGACATAGAAATTAAAGCAGAAATAATGGAAATCATTAAGAGGAGGCAAGGACTGTATTTCTAGTTCTGCGTTTTACGCTGAAGTAGCAACTATTTCTACTACAGTTTCATGTGTTCTTGGTTTATTTTACATGAATATATACAATTTTTAGATAATATATTGATTTTTCCTGTCAATATCATGACCAAAATAAACAAGCCAAACTGGATAGGTAAATGTCTGTACTTCAGGGTGTGGTTTTTGTTTTTTAAGTATACTACCTTTTCCATGTTATACTAACAAGGGTTTCTGGGAACAATTTAAACCATTTTCCCTATAAGTGATTATGCAGATTCTCATTTTTGTTGGAGCCATAACAAGCTTTTCCTGTGCAAGTCTATCTAATTTGAGTTTCAGCTGAAGTATATGCTATAACTACTCTATCCCTTGGGGGTAAGACAAAATTGAATTATGTCACTAACTAAATCTGTATGCAGAAGGGGATGGAAAGCGTACTTTTCCATCCCTTTCCACTTCCCCTCTGAAGCTTAAAATGTTTCAAATTCAAGCTCATTCTGTACTTTTGTATAAAGTTTCCATACAAATGGATCACTTGACATCTACTTGTTCAAAACCAAGTTTTGGCGATAAGACGTATGTGTGCACATGCATGTGCTCCCTTTTCTACACTGCATTTGTTGTCATATAGACTGAGATTAAGAAACTAGTAAGTGGACATTCTGGCCTCTGAGGCACTAAATATTAATAAAACCTTTATACATGCTTCTATATTATTGCAGAAAGCTGAAGTAGTGGTTCTTACATTAATGAACCATAGTACTGGAACAGAAAGCTGAATATACAATTCCTTTGCTACAGAATTATTTCAAGTATAATGACAGCGTGGTGATCTTTAGTTCCCTGTCAGGTTCCCTTGCATACCCAGAAGTCAAGTATGTTTCAAAATTGGAGAACAAAGTTCTTTTTAGAGAATGATCAGGTAACACTGTCTAATGTCAAGTGATATCTGCTGAAAGGGAGGGATCTAGTGGGTCTTGGCAGACAGCAAGCTGGGCATGAGCCAGCAGTGTCCTGGAGACAAAGAAGGGCGGTGGTTTCCTGGCCAATTTTAACAGGAGAATAGCCAGTACATCAATGAAAGTGATCATTCCCCTCCACTCAGCACTTGTTAGACCTCATCTAGCATACTGTGTTCAGTTCCTGGGCCCCCAATACAAGAAAGATGTGAATTAACTGGAGCAATGTTCAGTAGTGAGCCACCCAGGTGGCTGGGTTACTTCCTGAGGAGAGGCTGAAGGAACTGGGCTTGGTCAGCCCGCAGAACAGGTGGCTCTGGGGGAAACTTAACAGGAGACTCCCTGGGAAAAGCCCTGACTAATCTGGTCTGTCCTGACTGCTAACCCTGCCTTGGAAAGCATGACGTTGGACCTGAGACCTCCCATGGTCTTTTCTAACCTGAACTAATTTGTGATTCAAAATGGATATAAAATCCACAGACTTTAAAAAAAAAAAATTACAAACTTTAAATTGTTCAATTAAACTTGAGCTCATTCAATTTGCAAGATGTTATTTTATATTTAAGAAAACGCAAGTTAATAATTTTATAACATGAGGAATGACTAATGGAGGCCTGGTTTTGTTTTTTTTGTTTGTTTTAGTAGCTTTTCCATTTTATTAAGTCATGTAAACAGTATCAGTTTTCATATGGTTAAACTGCTATGATGTTAACTTACGCATTTCAGTTTTGACCTAGCTTTTCAAATGAAGATTTATTATACAGAAAAGGCTATTAGAATTTTCAGAGTAGAAATCAACTAATTTATTTTAAAATAAAATCAAATGTATAATGTATAGTTTTTCTAATAAACAAGACTGATACTTTTAGAATGTGATTATTTAGCAGAATTTATTTTGTGAGTATGTATGCATGCTTTTGGGGGCTTGATTGTTTTCCCCATTCATTTGTATGAAGGCTCTTGAGAAAAACCAGCAGTGGCTCCTGTACGACCAGCAACGTGAAGCGTATGTCAGGGGACTGCTGGGCAGGATCTTTGAACTTGAACAAAAGTCAGAAGTCATTTACCACCAGCATGTAACAGAAACCAGTGCAGAAGGTACTGATTTATTTTTTTCCAAAAGTGAAATAATTAAACCATAATTATCTAGAGAACAAGTCTTGTGAAAACAAGTTATAGCACAAAACCACAAATTAATTCTCTCAACCTTTGGTTCCTTAATGATAAAATTTGGATAAATAAAGTTTCTTTGTTTCCTGTTATCTAACTTCATTATTTAATCCACAGATCTCTGTTGTTCTTATCTTCTTCATTACATGTGGTTCTTAAAAGCCTTAACACTCCATTGGCAACCTTTCTATTTGCACAAAGTGTTGAGGCAACTGTTTTTATGCCTCCCATCCTTCAAAGTACACACTCAACCTACATGAAGGAAGTATTTAGAGTTTATTGCCTAGGTGTGGATCAAGTTTTTGGGGCTTTTTTTTTTTTTTCAAAATAAATATTATAAAGATGATTAAGGCCTTGTACCTCCTTTACTCCTCTGAACACCTCTTACCTGGCATGAAAAACTGATAGGTTTGGCACTTAACTATAACAGTGTTTCGCAATATGGATCTGCTCACCTCTAGTTCACCTCTGTGCTATGTGGTTTCTTAACAGTGATGGGGCACCCCTTCCCTACGGTGCCTTCAGGCCAGTTTGTGTAGTGCTTGACTAGCACATGGAGTAAAACTAAGATCACGCTGAACATAAGTTTCAGAAGCAATTGGCTTGATATCCTTATTATCAAAGCAATAATTTCATATATGCCAAAGCTGATCTGCATATTTTTTTGCTTTTTCACACTTTGAAATGCCATCAAAGGATCTTGCTCTTTGTTTTTAAGTTTGACTTTTTCATTTTCATGCTACTGTTTCAATAGTTCCAGCTCATGAAGGTCCTCTACAAGAAAAGCAAAAGTATTATGACCAACTGTTACTAAGTGCTAAAAGTGATCTTGAGACTGAAAGACGCACTATAACCCTACTGAAATCTGAACTTAATGAATTAAAAAAGAAGTATGAAGAAACACAACGAGAAATAATTAGTTTAAATGCCTTACTGCAGTCACAACAGGTTGTTGAAATGAAGACTCTAGAAAATGAAAATAAAATCAAAGGTGATAAACTGCAGAGGCTGAAAGAAGAAAATGAAATTATTAAAGAACAGCTCAGAGAAGAAAAGAAAAAGTCTGATGGTCTTTTATCTCAGGTAAGTAGATCCATTTGAAAATTTAAGATCATTTAAAAAAGAATCAAGAGAGCTTGAAAAGTCTTGTTTTATCAGAATGTACCATCATTCACTTGTTCTGGTAAATGTCTGCTTTTTATATCCATTTAGACTTGTCTTTTGTTTGTATTTCAAATTGGATTTTTTTTAAATTTAGATCAAAATCCTAAATCTTACACAATTTCCTTGTTAAACATATACTATTTCAATTATTTCCCTAGTCTGGCAGGGCACAAGAACAAGCAGGGAGCAGTGAGATTGATTCTTTTCATTACTGACTGAAGATTGATAATTCTTGCTTTATGCGCTCCTTAGCACATAAACATTTCTCCTATGTGGAGGGTTACAGTGGTCTCTTGTTCAGAATCTTCCTATCGGCACAGTTAAGCTGACAAAGATTCTGTTGAAATTTCTTTGTCTTAACAAAAGCATAGCATGATATCTTCTAGAGAGAAGCTGGAAAGTCCTTCCTTAAAGATCAATCCTTTGGGCATCCAACTATGATAAACTAGCTACTTGAAAAAGTTTGTGGTTAATAACATCAAGCAATGTTGAATCAAGTTCTGGGTTAGGAGGGTAAAATTCACAGGGTGCAAAATTAGATCTAAGCCAACCAACTTAGCTTCCTAAACACAGGCTGATTTTTCACTGGTTAGTACTGATTAAAAGCTGTTAGTTTTTGTAGCTGAACAATAGTATTCACTATAAAGTTTGATATGTTCTGATAACCAAGGATATTTTGTGGCATGCATATATTTAATCCATTATAGCTAACCTTTTCTGACTCTTAATGTTGTTCATTTTACTTTAACAATTTACACTGCTTCCCTCTGCAGTTATTACATTCTGTTAGGGGTAAGAATAGGTTTTTCATGTGTATATTTTTGTCTTAAGGCATCCTATCAATTGCCTAAGAAAGAGTTTTGTTTTGCTTCTTTTTTTTGTCTTGTTTTTTTGAATTGCAAAATGATTTTGTATTCCTTCCTCCTCCTGTACTAACAATGTTCCTCAGGGAAACATTAGAAATATAAAAGTTTAGTTTCATCTCTCTTCTATTTCATTTGTTAAGCTTATTAACAATTACATATGGAAGTTCTTTTTTTAAAGATTTTTTTCTGCCTTGTAGGTACAACTTCTTCATAAGTCACTGCTTAAGCAGCAGGAGGAACATACTAGGATAGCTTTGTTGGAACAACAGGTACATAATTATATGGTTAGATGTTGAGCTGACTACTCAAGAATTTGTTTTTTAATCCTTACTATAATGATTGATTTAAATATATAAAATGTTTTTTTTCCTGATTCTTAATTCTTACCTGACATCTTTTACTTTCTGGGGGGTGCCAGATCCAGATGTGTACCACAGACTTTGAGAATGAAAAGCTGGATCGACAGAATTTGCAGCATCAGTTGAACAAAGTTCTTAAGGAGCTGCGCAAGGCCAGAGAACAAATAACCCGCCTAGAACCTGTGGTATGTACTTAGGCCTTCTATTATCGTCAACAAAAATTCACTTCAAAAAAATTCTGTAAAAAATTCTATTTTCTATTCTAATTCTATTTTCTGTCAGAACCCTTAACTTGGCTTTTGCCTGTTGCACAATGACAAAGCTGCAGTGTGCTTCTACCTGAACATACCTTTAGTGATTAGGGAACATTCCTTAAATGTAGAAATTTGAATTATTTAACCCTACTCCCCCCTCTGATGTAGGATAGATCACTAAAATGCTACGTTTCTCATTTCCTTAAAAGAAAGAGAAAGGGCATCCATCTTATTGTGAGGACCACAGTCTTACTGCTGCTTACATAAGAGCAATATATAATGAGTACCACCTGGATTTGATCCCCTAGTTCCTAGGGGAGGATTAAGTATTTAACAAGGCATTGATCTCTTCTGCCTTATTGTAGCCTGGATTGCTCTCGTCTTGAGCGGAGATGTGTTTGGGACTGGGACCCTATAGACTAAGGCATCTTGTGAGACTAGGTGAGAGCTGAATAGGATTGCTAAGATCACAATTCTGGACTAATCTAAATGAAACAGACTTCAGTTCTGAATGTATGTGCCCTGCACTACAGCAGGTCTGGAACTGCTTTGTGTGTACCTTTTTGGTAATAAGCACAAGCTCCTTAAAAAAAAATTTGCATGAGAGGAATTCTTATGCAGATCTGCTATACTCTTATACTGCTATATTTCTCCTGAGTTGTATGCAAGTTTGAGAAGTGGAGCTCTGCATTCATCTAATAAAACACTATTTCATCAACTCCTTTTAAATAGTCTTCAGAAAAAGCGATCTGCAGTCTAGTTTCAGTGTGGTTTTGAACTATGTAACACACTGATATTGCCCTGCGTTAATGTATGGAGCACAATTGCATTCAGCCATCTTGAAAAATTCTTCTCTTAATTCTACAGCATGAACGAGGGGTGTGTGCCATCAAAGCTTAATATTCATTCCTATTGCTACTTGATCGAGACATGAAAGCCACAGTTGCATGAAAAGGTTTCTCCTTTTCCAGAAACTCCAGGAATCTGGACATATGGAACCACAGGAAGGTCTGCAAGCAGCATTTGAAGAGAAGATGACAGTATACGACACAAGTCCTTCCCTGAAACGTTCAAATCTCCTTGATGAAAGTTTTCTTGAGTGTCCTAGATGTAAAATGCAGTACCCAACAAGCCAGCATAGGGAATTACTAGCACATATTGACTTTTGTACAGCTTGAGCTCAAAATAGACTTGCCATCTTTGATTTTTAAATACTGCCACTTTGCAGTTTTACAAAGAGAAACTGCAGTCCTTTTTAGGCTTTTTTTTTTTAACGGTTTTGTGAAGGACTACTAGTTTAATAAGTCACTTTAACAAAAACATTTTAACTTATTTGGCCTTAAATATTTTACCTAGCATGTCTGTAAAAATATTTCCATTACAGCCAAATATGCAGTAGACATTTTTCACAATTATCTTCAAAAAGTAAACTACTGACCTTTTTCCTTTTTTTTATTGTTTGTGGGATTTCTTTTTCTTTTTTTTTCTTTCTTTTTTTCCTCCTGCTATTAGAAAGGAGATCAGTAAAAATATTTATTTATTGTGTCAGGTTTTATTTTACTACTTGACATGTCTAGCTCAACTTAGTTGACTACTAAGTCTGAAAATAGCCCTTGTACCCTAATTGGCAGTAACAGCTACAAAATGGTTTTGGCCCTGGTAGAATTGATCTCTTTAGGTCTGTCTCCAACAGGCTAGGCTATTTCTATGCATCTCTACACAATGTCCTTATATTTATGTCACCAAAAAGCTAGAGTGGTAGGGAAAATGTCATTGCTACTTTCAACTCGTGTTTTCAACAGTGCTTTTAAGTCACTTATTCTCCTGAATCACAGTCTTGAGTGACTTAAAGCAGGTGTGAAAATGCTCATTAATAGGCAAGTACTAGAAAAATGTCATCTTGGCAAATCTGTCTAATGAAAAAGGTTTACATTTCAGACACCATCAGGGATCATTTGAGAAATCTGAATACAGATTTACTTAAGTAAACTCTTGTTGCACTTCTGTATCTTACTAGTTAAAGTTGGGAAATATCCCTTTAAATCTGTGTTATCCTCTTCATCTGTCCTATTTTAAAAACACAGGTTTTAATAAAATGCTGTCATGAATCTGAAGTGTCATTTTATTTTAGTATTAATATGGGAAACAAGGTAGCAATAAATTCTTGCCCTACTTCAGTAATTGTCAAAACTTTCCTTGAGAACTCACCCATTTGCAATCAGTTTTGCAATCAAAGATAGGGTGGACTCAGAAGTCTAACAAACCCTGCTTCCACATCTCATGCTTTTCCCATGAGGGGAATTTTATTTCATGCCTCTAAGCAACTCCTAAATTCAGCATAATAACTATCCTTTTCATCCCACTGTAATAATACTGTTCTCCTATATTTAACTGCATTTTTAGAAGTTAAACTTGTCTTTTTCTAACAACCACCACACTAATCATCTACTACTCTCTTCTCAGCTGTTTAACCAGCATGGTTTCTACAGGAAGCAATTGTGAACATTTTATCAAGTAGGAATTAAATTTGCCTGCCCCAGGTCAACAATGTTCTCATTAATAACCGAAGCTTTCTTAAATTAGCAACAACCCCTTCCCCTTTAGAGGTTAGTGCTGCAGAGGGTATCTAAAAGGTACAGCTTGTTAAGTGCTTGGTTATTTAATATTCAAGTGAGTAGATTCAAGTAAAATTCATAATTTGATAAATTTTAAAAGGCTTTGATCACTGCAGTAGCTGTTCCTAGCTTTAACTGTGAATTAACATTTACCTGCTAATTTTTTTTTAAAGTATGAATTTACACATTATACTACTGTGGTGTACATTGAAAAATATCAAAATGGAATGTCAGAAGAGTCACTTTGAAGGCAGACTCACAAATAGTATTTACAACTTCTTATGTATGACTAGAACCATCTACATCATGGAATTCCAATGCATTCAGAAAGTTTACATTTGTTCATGCAGTTTACACCACTGCCTTTTTCTGCCACTGTTTAAGACTCTTAACTCCTAAGACAGGAATTATTCCCAGTGTCCTAAGAATAAATATACAAAAAAAAAGTCTGATTTCTCTCTAGTTTTATCTAGGATCTCTGGGATTTGTGCCTAATGGAATCATTTTAAGACTAAGACTTGCCTATAATCTTAGCTCTTTATCGGTAGAAAGCAATAAATAAAGTTTCTAGATATCAAGTATTTACCTTTTTTTGAGCATGGTCTGAGCATCTGTCCATTTCAAAGAGCTGGCTTTAAGTGCTAAACCCTAAGATAGTATATTCCAACCCAGCAGGAATTCTGTGCAGTATGCATCACCTAAAGATGCTGGTCTAGAGAAACTTAGATTAAAACTAGAGTTTACCAATACTAACATGCTTGAGAAATCTGGCTTTCAGGTATAGCAAAGTGAATGGAAAGAGCAAGTGAATTAAAATGTTTTGATGCAATCTGCTATGACTGAAAAGTTAGCTATATATAACAACTCATTTTTACACAAGAACACCTTACAATGAATCATCCTGTCATCAGCTCCTAATCCTTTACTTGCTTGTGCAACTTTGAATCCATTTCTGACCTATTTGTTTTTGGTTTTCATAAAATCTTACATGCAGTTATTTGCTACGTGCAAGCAGGTGTTCTACAGATGTTTGTGCAAACTATAAAATAAAACATTTAACTATCCACATAAAAACTGGCAGGAAGACGTTGTGCTTGTTATGCTGTAAAACAGTCGCACTGAACAACACAAATATTTAGAAACAACTGGACCTCACTGCTCACCTGACAAAGAACACTAACATGAATGATAGAAGGTCTTCAGGGTGCCTAGGCTCACTATTGCTTTCGTGACATCTCTATAACAAAGCACTGATGAAATGGAATAGTACAGTGAAGTAATAAAAATATAGCAGTAGTAGAGATGTAGATACTTCATTTTTAATCTGTCACTTTTCATTTTAATTTCCACATTTTATAATGATTAAACAATGTTAAGACTACAGTAGCAGTTGTGGCTATGGTTTTATCTTTAAAATGATAAGGAATTATGTCTATCATAGAAGAAAGATACAGTTAGGGATTAACACTAGTAATACAAGCTACTTTATGTACAGCAGGACTCCACAGCTCCAAACCTGTAACAATCCTTCATCTTTTCCTTCCTCTAACTTGAAAAGTAAATGCCAGAGTTACATAGCAAGTACCTGCAATCAGTTCTGTGGAAAAATCTTTGCACATTAGAAACATGGAAATGTCACTCTGAAAGTTTTAACACAAACCTTGAGGCAATAGTTGTATATTTACCACAGCAGGTGAGTTTATAGCTGTATTTACATAGTTATATATATATGTATATAGATATAGCTATAGGTGGGTTTATAGCTTACCATATTGCAGAATTATCAGAATTAGTTTCAAAATTAACATCATTGCAAAACTCAGGCTAAGGCTTATTTGGTGAGTTTATAAATTGGCTAGACCTAGTGAAGCTCAGCTGAGAGAACTCAGACCTCTCTGAAGTCATTCAAGAGCAGCTTGCTGCTATATCTGAGAATTCTGGAGTGCAAGAGGGATTTCAAAAGACTAGAAAGAGAATAAAGAAAAACACAGTGCTTAATAATGGAGAGGAGGGGTTGCCAAAGAATTTCAGATCAAACCATCCTAACTTTAATTCCTCGAACAGAAAAAAAAAAACCACTGTCATAGCACTGGTAGGGAGAATCATAACATATCTATTCAATTTTCTTAATTGAAGAAGTGTTGTGGATGGAGAGAAAAGTTATGTTAAAATGAACTTTCTGTTTCACACGCCAGTTTCATAGCAAGGTAGCAAAACATAATCATTTCCTTTAGTCTATACACTGGGTGCACAAGCTGAAAATTTGTATTCTGTAATTAGGCATCAATAATGAAGTACCACAAGAACAGCCACACTTAGATCTTTGTTCTGCCCCATGATCTTATATATTGCCTCCAACAAGCAGCCAAAAGGAGATGCTGAGAGTATAGCAGCAGGATAGTGGAAGCTGGGACCTATTGTTAATCGTCCAAGGGATCTTAGAGGGCCAGATACCATTTCCATGTGTTAGTACCTCTCACTGCACTTTGCTGTTGAGCGATGATGCAGATGCTAGAACAGAGTACACCAAGTCTGGCATACTCCAAGGTAAGAATGGAGAGCTCTTTAGAGACCAGCATTAATTTTCAATTTGTCAATAATAATGATCTGAAATAGGGTAAGTAAAATAAATGTTACAGGTAGAAACATCAACTATCTAAATGCAAAATAAATAGTATCAATATATCAGATCTTCAGAAAGGATTTTAGGGAATATAGAAACTGAACATGACTCAATATCCCACTTGCATAGTCTTGCAACAGTTTTATAATGGGATGAATAAACAGACTTTACACATTTTACACATAGTCCTTCCTTTTTAGTCAATAGTGATAAGACTTTTAGCTCACATACTGTATGCAATTTTAAGTATTGTACTTTAAGAACAACTTACACTAATGAGAATATAGGACTTCTTTAGGATTTCTGATAAAATCAGAGAAGAATTGGGGTTATAAAGTCTAGAAAAGATCATAAAAAATGGCAAAATTTCATATACAGACAGGAAGAAATAAATTCTTATATTCAGTGAGAAAAGTAACAAGCTCATAAACCGCAACGGGGTAATTCTGACAGGAGGAAAATCTTTCTGATAGTTATAATAGATAAGCAGTGAAGCATATTGCTCATGGAGGCTGTAAAATCTCCACCATGGAAGATTTATAAGGACAGTTATACAACTATCTAAACCATTCCTGACAGATGGTTCTATCTTGGGTCTGGGGCATCAACCAGATGATTTATCAAGGTCCCCTGAAGCCCTATTTTTTAATGACATTATATATAGACTTGTAAAGCAACAAACCATAAGATATCAACCAAATAAAAAGCAGAGAACATAAGGGCTGGCCTTTCTGACTCTCCACATTTCATTACAAGCAGAATAGCTACCTCATAGAAGTCTTAAGTTGTTAAGAACAACTTAACCTGTTCCTTACCTCATAAACTTCTAGTCTGAGCACACAAAGCCATTTTAAATCAAGATTGGGATTATGCATTTTAACTCTGCTGGAAAGCAAGGCAAACTGTGAGAGTACAACTTGATGTCACATAATTCCCTAGGGTTGAGAAATGCCTTATTCCTACAGTACTGTAAGGAACAGTGCTGTGATGTCTAATTTCTTGGCACATTGTGCTGTTGCAACTTTCACAACCCCAAGTGGGAGGTGCTGCTGATTCACAGATGCAAATTTTTTTCGAGCTTTAGCTGCCTAAGACAAATGAGAGTCATTCCTTGAAAAAGAAAAAAAGAAAAAAAAAAAAAAAAAAAAGGAAGAGAGGCAGACTTCAAGTATGACAGAGTGACACTTTCCCTTACTCCCAATCTCCACTCCAGAACTGGAACTGGATTCTCCAGAGGACT